TATTATTTCATTCTATATTATTTCATTCCATATTATTTCATTCCATATTATTTCATATAATTTCATTCTATATTATTTCATTCCATATTATTTCATATAATTTCATTCTATATTATTTCATATTATTTCATTCTATATTATTTCATTTCATATTATTTCATTCCATATTATTTCATTCTATATTATTTCATTTCATATTATTTCATATTATTTCATTTCATATTATTTCATTTCATATTATTTCATTTCATATAATTTCATTCTATATTATTTCATTCCATATTATTTCATTCCATATTATTTCATATATTTTCATTCTATATTATTTCATTTTATATCATTTCATATTATTTCATTTCATATATCATATCATTCCCCTTTTTGTGGGTCCAAAACGTTTTTGCTCAAATTTGTGAAAACTATAAATGTAGAGAAATGTGTCCCTTAACGTATCTGAGACTTGTAATTAAAAAAAAATGTTAACGCCAAAACTATTCAAAAACGTAAGTTTACGTTAACTTTAAAAGTTGGTTATGCTGTTTGGAAGCTATTACAAAACTGCTGTACGGATTGGAGTAAAATAAACTCCTAGTTGTAGAGAAATATGTCTCCTACTTATTCCTAAGATTTCAACTAAAAATATCAGGTCATAAAAAAGCCAAGCCAATGTTTCACAAAAAAATGGAATGTCCCTTCAAATCGTATTCCATATTTTTTCATTTCACAAGAACGAAGTAGAAATGTCATGGTGTTATTCTGTATAACCTATTAACATGTTTGATTAATTAACAGTGTAATTGATTAGGCCCTGGGTGTTTACAGTCTTTATTTTACCTCATGACGTATATAGATTGATATACACTCCCACTTACAGATATACAAACACGTGCACAAAAACTAACCTGTACTCAATATTCAAATACATACAAAATTATGAATACACTTTGAGGTATTGTCACCAGTTGCGTATGGTTGCAAATAATGAAAGTAATCAAGAGTACAGTGGAAAGGGGGGTGGGGCGAGCACGGGCCAGTGGCGTTTTTAGAAAACATCAGATGATGGGGGGGGGGGGGAGGGGGACGGCGAGCAGGGGCCAGAAGATTTTCCAGGGCCGAGGTGTGAGGTTCGAGGTTTTGTATAATAAAACCACTTCCCGATTGACATGGAAAATCCCAAGCAGGCTTTTTTTTCAGGCAATTTATTAAAAATATTTCGAATTATAAGTTTAATCGTTTGGCAAGTAAATGTATATTTAGAACACTATATCCCTTTATTCTGTCCCAAGGCCATTCCTTGAGTCTTAATCCAGAAACTTTATTCAATGACAGCTTAACTCTGTTACTGGGTTTGTTATCTCGAAAGGGTATTGCCTACGTAAGTATAGGGTATGTTTTTCCCTGCCGGAACACCCGAAGCCAATGCGTTACTGGATCTATCAACTCGGTATCCCTTTTAGATGGTTTACATATATTGCGTTACTTTAATTTTGTATCATATTTTAGATACTTTATTGACGGTAAGTATTTTACTTGAAAAGAGCGACCTCTACATTAATTAAAAGGGATAATCTCAATAAAAATTGGTAATGTTTTTAAACTTAGAAATATCTTGAGGCCAAGTTCATCTTAAATTTAATCTATTTTAACTCACGATTTTGTGATTTTGTCGACCAATCCATCATTCTCTCTCATTTCAAACGCTCTGAGGATAAAAAATCAGAATTCAATCTTTCTCACAAGGTGTTGATAAGCGTGATTAAAGGTTCGTATATTTTATTGTGGTGTGATTCCTTAGTTTAAATTCTTTAGGGATCGTATCAAAATGATGTTATTAACTATGTGACTCTCTGAAAGGGATATTGCTTTGACAAACCAAGATGGAAATAAACATTATGTACCAATTACACTGACTGGGATATAGCCTAATAGCATTGGTTATCGGTCTCCGCCACCACGATTAGATAATTTAATGGATCTGTAGATGTTGTGATAAGAATACTGGTTTTGGTGGGCACATGTCAATTTTATATGAAATGTGATATGAATAATAGTTTGATTGGTATATATCTGTTTTCTTCTTGTGATATGAATAATAATTTTCATAGGTGTATATCTGTTTTCTTCTTGTGATATGAATAAAAGTTTTGATAGGTATGTGTCAGTTTTCTCCTTGTGATATGAATAAAAGTTTTGATAGGTATGTGTCAGTTTTCTCCTTGTGATATGAATAAAAGTTTTGATAGGTGTATATCTGTTTTCTCCTTGTGATATGAATAAAAGTTTTGATAGGTATATATCTGTTTTCTCCTTGTGATACGAATAAAAGTTTTGATAGGTATATATCTGCTTTCTCCTTGTGATATGAATAATAGTTTTGATAGGTATATACCTGTTTTCTCCTTGTGATATTAATAAAAGTTTTGATAGGTATATATCTGTTTTCTCCTTGTGATATGAATAAAAGTTTTGATAGGTATATAACTGTTTTCTCCTTGTGATATGAATAAAAGTTTTGATAGGTATATATCAGTTTTCTCCTTGTGATATGAATAATAGTTTTGATTGGTGTATATCTGTTTTATCCTTGTGATATGAATACTAGTTTTGATAGGTATATGTCAGTTTTCTCCTTGTGATATGAATAATAGTTTTGATAGGTATATGTCGGTTTTCTCCTTGTGATATGAATAACAGTTTTGATAGGTATATAACTGTTTTCTCCTTGTGATATGAATAATAGTTTTGATAGGTATATGTCGGTTTTCTCCTTGTGATATGAATAATAGTTTTGATAGGTATATGTCAGTTTTCTCCTTGTGAATATGAATAAAAGTTTTGATAGGTATATATCAGTTTTCTCCTTGTGATATGAATAATAGTTTTGATAGGTATATGTCAGTTTTCTCCTTGTGAATATGAATAAAAGTTTTGATAGGTATATAACTGTTTTCTCCTTGTGATATGAATAATAGTTTTGATAGGTATATGTCAGTTTTCTCCTTGTGAATATGAATAAAAGTTTTGATAGGTATATGTCAGTTTTCTCCTTGTGATATGAATAATAGTTTTGATAGGTATATGTCAGTTTTCTCCTTGTGATATGAATAACAGTTTTGATAGGTATATATCTGTTTTCTCCTTGTGATATGAATAATAATTTTGATAGGTATATAACTGTTTTCACCTTGTGATATGAATAATAATTTTGATAGGTATATAACTGTTTTCTCCTTGTGATATGAATAATAGTTTTGATAGGTATATGTCAGTTTTCTCCTTGTGAATATGAATAAAGTTTTGATAGTGTATATCTGTTTTCTCCTTGTGATATGAATAACAGTTTTGATAGGTATATAACTGTTTTCACCTGGTCAATTGAAGAGTAGTTGTGACAGGCATTTGTTTCTTATTGAGATTTTGAATGATTTGTCAAAATGGCTTCATAAGACACCAATTGCCGACATTTTCAAAATAATCATTGCCAAATTTTTAGACCTTTCGCCTCTTTTTTTGTAGAACAACACCCGACAAGCAGTCATGATGGCGATAACTTTAATAACTATATTATGTCTGATTGCCGGCACAGATGCACAAATTATGCCGGGAATGGGAATGCCCGGAATGCAAATGGGAATGCCTGGAATGCAAATGGGAATGCCCGGAATGCCGCCAAATAGAATGACTGGAATGCCCAATGGAATGCCCAATGGAATGCCAAATGGAATGCCAAATGGAATGCCAAATGGAATGTCAAATGGAATGCCCAATGGAATGCCGAATGCAATAGAATACCGGGAATGTCAAATGGAATGCCAAATGGGATGCCAAATGGGATGCCAAATGGAATGCCAGGTATGCCAAATGGAATGCCTGGTATGCCAAATGGAATGACAGGTATGCCAAATGGAATGCCAGGTATGTCAATTGGAATGCCAGGAATGCCAAACGGAATGCCAGGTATGCCAAATGGAATGCCAGGAATGCAACTTGGTATGCAAAATAGAATGTTCGGATCATCCGGGGGAATGCCTGGAGGAATTCCAAGATTTCCAGGTGGATTTCCCGGATTATCAGGGGGTATGCCAGGATTATCAGGGGGTATGCCAGGATTATCAGGGGGTATGCCTTTTGGATTTCCTGGATTGAGGAGTGGAATTCCCGGTGGTTTCCCCGGAATGAACATGATAAATAACCCTATGTTACAGGCCAGATTACAATTGATGAATAATGGTCAACCAAATCAGCAGTCATCCTCTGATAATGCCAACAATAGCGGGTCTTCAAACAATGATTCCAATAATAGGAACGCTAATATCAATCCGTTTGCTAACATTGGTATGAGTATGTTCAACAGGCAATCTCCTTTCGCTATGCTGGGAGGAAGATCGCCATTTGGAGGATCACCATTTGGAGGACGATTCCCATTCACAATGGGCTAAATCAAACACATCCACCAACTAGACAGAAACCTGGGTCCTTTGTTCCTTTTTTACGAAATTTAACTCACAATGATTGTACTGTTTCGATCATCTGATTTGATTGTGGAATAAGTTCATTTAATCAGCTTAATCTTAAATCTGGAATTCATATAATGTTATTTTTGTGACAACTGTCCCTAAATATATATAATAGAAGGACTTTTAAATGGACTTTTACTTTTTTCGGAATAATCTCAGAAATATGTTATGCAAACTTTAGACTTTTGTTACTATCAAATTATACACTTCATGTTCGTGTAGGAAAAAATTTGTTGTATTTTAAACACGGTTTAATGTAATATGTAAATTATTGATTAAAATGTGTTCTATCATATGGTTTGTTTTATATATTTAGTAGGGATTTCTGAAAAGTGCTTAGCTTAAGTGAGATATCTCAATGGAATTGAAACAAACTTGTGCCGCCAACAAGTTCAATCATTTAATCAATCATATATACAGGGTTCAATTTAAGCGGTATCGCAGTGCAGTTTGCGAGTCAAAATGACCCATTTTCCGATACCCCTATGATTAGCCAAAAGTAAAATTCCTCACAACAATCTGTCAATCAGACATCGAAGATGTGAATTACCACTGGGAAATTGTTCAAACCTGAAAGGTGATTATGTAGAGATATAAATTATAACTATCGACTATCGGTACGGGTCATTTATTGTTGACCATTAATTTCAAAGTAACTATTGGTTCTAGAAAACTTTATTTAGCTGCCTGAAATACAACATAACGCAACCGTCACCAACGACGAAATAGTAAGGGGCGCCCAATTGTCAGCAAAACTCCGCAATTGGCACAGCAGCGCCCTCTCTTATTTCGATTTTAGATATTTAAAATGTTATAAAAACAGTGTTGAATCATATTTTTCTTTCCCGTCATTAAAGGTGAACATTTCGCAGTTGTGATAACATCCATTTTTCATTCCTGTACTTTTATTCTTGAAAATTGTATTGGCGGTCTGTATTTAACTAAATACCGTATTTGGGAACTACATTTTGTAAGTTATGATTTTGTTTTTGTTGTAGTATATCCAGGAATATTAACAGCCTTGTTATTATTACCAATGTGAATGCCATTGTAAACTTGCACATTTTGAATTTCGTTTCTAGAAGGTTACCAGAAGCTGTATGTTAGAAAGTCGTAGATTTTCGTCATTTTAATATTCACATCCGATAAATTTAGAGAAATCTTCAGAATTTGATTACAACAGAACATCTATGGCCAAAGCTTGAAGCTGTCTGTGTGAATAATGATTTTGATTTTGGTACGCTGTGCAGCAGAAATTTTGAATTTTGAAGAAGCATTTCTAAAGGTAAAGTAAAAGTTTGGCCAACATCTTGATACAGAATGATGAAGTTGAAAGTATTGAAATCGATGACGACCCTGAACACACAGACATGCCAACTAGTAACCAGGAATCTCTTCGACAGCTGAACGCACCTTTTCTGTCCTGAAACGAGTCAAATGTCGAATACTTCCTATTGGCTAGATTTTTATTGCGTTTATGGAGATGTTTTGTCGCTTGTCTAAGGTCATTCTCGATTCCTTGTCGATCTCAATGGCGAATACTGGCGAGAATGGCACCAACCGTACGATATCTGACGCTCGCTTCACGCTTATACCAGAGCTATGTGGCTCTGGCTTATACCACGCCTGGGGAATGGCGACCTTAACACGCTCTTAGCTAATTTTTAAGGTCGCATAACGAAGTCAGAACTGTCAAAAACACAGAATTCAGCGATATTCCGGTTCTATGTTCTTATTAAGAATTAATTTATCTTCGTTACAATAAAAGTATAAGTTAGAAGTTGTTTTTCGAGTTTTGCATTATTGACAACATGTGTTTAAATGTTTTATTAACACCGCACTGTACAAAACAATTTCTGATCCTCCAGCCAATTTGGAGCCACCACGCCACTGGTGGGCTTTGAGGTGTCATGGGTTCGACATCAGGACAGAAAACATGCATGTAATCAAACAGAGAGGTCTCTAATATACATTGGACTACATTACTGTAGAATTTGTTTGTGGTCTGAGTCTATATTCAACGAATCAACAGATACTGGAAAGTGAAAGTAGATTTCTAAGAAAAGATGTAAGTTATATTTTTAACTGTCACTGTACAAGGAGAAAAGGAAACGTTGAAATAGAATAAGCTGCTGCTATCACCGAAGATATATATTCGGATTCTGCGAGGTTAAAATATAGGACAACCTAAAGACTGGTTAATCTAGGTGTAAGATATGAATAGACTGCAATCAAAGTGTAGAGATATTATTCAGTGAATGAGGAAGTAAAGCTGTAATATATTTCTTGGTCGAACTACAATTAGGATACTAAGACATTCTGTGTTAAATTAATATTATAGACTATATTATAGTGACTAATTTATTACTAGTGAATTAAACTAACTATAGCGACAAAAAAAAATAGAAACAGAAAGTAAAAGTAGGATTCTAAGACGTCATACTTGATAATTAAGTCAACTTAAGGTTTTAAAGATTAAAATGAAACTAGGATTTTAATACATCGAGTGACGAAACTGAAAGTAGACTTGAGTTTGACCAAAATTAACCTGCTTGGTGTGATAAAGACTATTCCTGATTTTAAACTAAAATTATCATGGAAAAACTAGATAAAACATGTAGTATTTGTTTACATGATCGTAAACAACCTAAAATATTGACATGTTTACATGTTTATTGTTGTCAATGTTTACTTGATTACGTCAACAAATCTCTCAAAGACGGACAATTTCCGTGTCCTCTATCTCGTGAACAAATTCAACTTCCTTCTGGTGGAGTCAGGAATTTCAGGATTTTCCTGAAGGTGATGGAAGTGATGACGAAATAGATACAGAAACTGATGACGTGTCAAATATGAATGACGTAGCATCTCCAGCAGCAGAATTAGGTCTCTGTGGCGTATGTGAAAGTCAAACTAGTGTAAAATATCGATGTAAAGATTGTAAACAGAGTATTTGTGAGAACTGTAAGATAGGTCATCGCAAAATTCCTGTCACTAAAAATCACGTGATTATTGATTTTGTTGATGGAATTGAAGAAGAAATTTGGGAACCCAGTAACCATGGCAACCAGAGTCCTGTAGACCCGTGTCCTGTACATACATATAAAAACTGATTGAAATTTATTGTGTGGAATGTAAAACCTGTGTTTGTTTACAATGTTATGTTGATGAGAGTAATAGAGGTGTTCACAATGGACACCGGATATTGAATTTAGACAATAAAGATACCCAAACCAAGTTACGAGATAATTTAAAATGTTTAAATACTAATTTACAGGCTCAGATCGACCGTTTACAGACATTTTCAGATCACCTGACATCTAAACTAAACCGAGTGAGATTGATATTTGTAGTGAGGAAGCGTGTAACAAGGTGGATCAACAAGTCCAGCTCATTTCTAAATTGGTCCAATCTCGAGCTGAACAAATTAAAACTCAAATCAACAATACTCGACACGAGGAAAGAAACAAGTTGGAAATTTTGAGAAAAGAAATGGAAATATCCATCACTGAACTAAAATCAGCCATTAAAGATTCTCTGATTACCCTAGAAGGAGAGTCGGTTGTTAAAATTGTAGAAAGAAATGAGAGAAATAGAAATGATGAAATGAAAGTTAAACAGAAAGATTTGGTCGTTCCTGATTTACAATTTCCGAGTTTTCTTATTGGAAGTGACGTCAGAGATGAGGTCGGGAGATTGGTTGGCGAATGCAAAAATTTCAAACAACCAAATTTTACACTGGAATATAACATAAATACAATTTCTTGTAGCTTTGTAAAAAGGTATTTTAATTTTGGTGAATTTAAATGGTATGTGAAGGTACGCTGTAATAATGATGTTGAAACTCTGGTGTGGTGTCTATCTTTGTTTATCTGAGACAAGTGTCAATGAGACAAGAGACAATGAGACAATGAGACAAGCGACAATGAGACAAGCGACAATGAGACAAGCGACAATGAGACAAGTGTCAATGAGACAAGAGACAATGAGACAAGCGACAATGAGACAAGAGACAAGAAGAAAGTAAAAGTTATATCTGGTTTTACTATTCTAAATAAAGTCGCAGGAGAATCTCGATCTCGACTTCCATCCTCTGATGAGTTTGAAGCAGGTGGTCCTGGGTATGGCTATAACAATTTTATTAATCTCAAAGAATTAAAAAATCCCGAAAATGGTTTTGTGGACAAAGATGGTCATTTTTCTATCAGAATTTTAATACAACAACCCTAAGGACTTACTTTAATAAATATGCCAATTTGATATTAATAAGAATTTGGTATAAATTTAATAGTAGAATCTATTTTTACTTTTCAACATGCGCGACTTTCTACATGATTGTTGAAACAATGACGTCAATACATAACATTGTCATTGATTAGAATTTCTCTGCCTAATGTTTTAGTGATCAGGCAATGGTGTTTATTATGATATAAAAGTCACACACGAATTTGAATTAGCACAAAGGAAAAAATGATAGCTAATGTGAATATTTGTTATTGTTAGACATTGTTGTCGTGTCCTAAACCAAGTTCTGATATCCCATCCGAATATCACGTCCATTTTAAGATAGTTGTGATAGTATAGCTTCAGAATGACCTTTAACACCAATATATATTTAGATATTTGTAATTGTAACGTTAATTTTGATTGGTTGTAGATATTTTTTGTTATTTTATTAATTAATTCTTACCAGATTTTAATTGTGTTTTAACCAGTAACAAAGAATGTCGAAATGTATTAAGTTAATATCTCATTCTAAAACAGAATTTGTTGGAAAGGATTAAATGTGATAGAAATAATTTACAGATTTCGAGAATTTACTTTTTGGTAAAATAACTTATTTTATGTCGACCTACTTAGGTTAGTGGAGGAATATTAATAGGAGCTAACTGGTTGTTAAAGAGATACTATCTCTTAGAATGAATATAAAATTCAACTTCTCAAATCTGGTCAATAAGAGTATATTTTCATCTTTAAACCTACCTAGTGTCATAACTAATCAACAGAATACCTGTATAATCTAATAAATTCATAAAACGAAGAAATTGGCCTTAAAACTACGGTATTATTGAAAAACGACTATTACGTTGTTTTATGGATTTATCTGATTCTGTTGTATATGTATGACACCAGGTAAGTCCACTGATGAATATATACTCTAATTGAATAAGTTTGAGAAGTACATTCTACTTTAATCATGCCCGAATCCTCAATCCGAATGACAAATAATAATGAGCCAAATTTTAATCCAGCAACTGATTGTCATTGAACTTAACACTTTATATCTTCAGTTTCCCTAATCTTGTCCTAGGTTTAATCTAGGGTGGCGTCGAGAAGATATCTGCTTATTTTCAAATATGTTATGTGTCTGTGATGTAGGTCTCAAATGCTGGCAAAATCGACTAGACGTTGGGAAAAACTGTAGGCCGTTTACTAGATGTTAGAGCTCATTTTCAGTTGTGCATAGTAGGCCTACTCAATGTATAATTCCCCTGCAATTCAACAAAAAAGTAACATGACGTCACTTCCAGGTCATTTTTACGATTGAATAGCAGTTCTTATATGACGTCATGACTACCTAAATATGTTTAGTACGTCAAGGAAGTGACACGGTACGTATTTTTTAACAATTACTGGCTAAATCGACGTTCAATTTTAATTCTGAAGGACTTATTTTGAGCTCCGTCAACAAGAGAATATTAAAACGACTTTATCCTTTTCATACTTGATAAAGACAAGAGTATTATTTCTGAAACGTCGTAACGTAATTATTTCACTGAAGTTATCCAGAATATATATCTATTATATATAAAATAATATTACAAAATGATATGAAATACAATTTTTATTCTATATAATGATCGAACAAATTAAACAATATAAACATACGGTAGGGTCATTGGGATATAAATGAGGTGGAGAGGAGAGAGGGTTGAGAGGAGAGAGTGAGGGTGGAGAGGAGAAGGAAAGAAACAAGAGGAAGTGAGGGGGAGGGGAGATAAGAAGAGGGATAGGAACAATGAAGGGGGGAGAGGAGAGAGAGGGGCGTGAAAGGGGGGGAGGGGAAGTGGAAGGAGAGGAAGAAGGGGAAGGGGGGGGAGAGGAAGAGGGGGAAGGAGAAGAGGGGAAGGGAAAGGAGAGGAAGAAGGGGGGGGGGAGAAGAGAGAGAAAAGGAAGAGAGGGTGGGGAGAAGGGGTGTAGGAGAAAGAGAAAGGGGGGAAGGAGATGGGAGAAGGGTAGAAGAGAGATTGGTGAAGAAAGATAAGAGAGAGGAAAAAGGGGGGCAGGGTGGGTCACTCAGGCTTCCCTTACACTTGTTGAATTGATAGTCTAATAGAAAAATTCCCATCTTTGTCTACGAATCCATCGTCAGGATTTTTCAATTCTTTGATATTAATTAAGTTGCTACGGCCGCATCCATGACCTTTTCTGGTGGAAAATTCTTCAGTATTAAAGTTTTTTGAACGAGATTTACTTTCGACTTTATTGAGAATTGTAAAACTGTATTTAATTTTTACTTTCATCTCTTTTTCTGTCTTCGATTTGATCAAAAACATATACATACTAAGACGGCCATCATCTTTACAGTCTGCAGACAAACACCAAACCAAATCCACAAAATCAAACAATTCAATTTTACTATCTAAAGATCCTCGGGAAATAGTTTTTGTATTAAATTTTAGTGTAAAGTTTTGTAGTTTTAAATTTTTACATTCGCCAACCAATCTCCCGACCTCATCTCTGACGTCACTTCCAGGAAGAAAACTCGGAAATTGTAAATCAGGAACGACCAAATCTTTCTGTTTAACTTTCATTTCATCATTTCTATTTCTCTCATTTCTTTCTACAATTTTAACAACCGACTCTCCTTCTAGGGTAATCAGAGAATCTTTAATGGCTGATTTTAGTTCAGTGATGGACATTTCCATTTCTTTTCTCAAAATTTCCAACTTGTTTCTTTCCTCGTGTCGAGTATTGTTGATTTGAGTTTTAATTTGTTCAGCTCGAGATTGGACCAATTTAGAAATGAGCTGGACTTGTTGATCCACCTTGTTACACGCCTCCTCACTACAAATATCAATCTCACTCAGTTTAGATGTCAGGTGATCTGAAAATTTCTGTAAACGGTCGATCTGAGCCTGTAAATTAGTATTTAAACATTTTAAATTTTCTCGTAACTTGGTTTGGGTATCTTTATTGTCTAAATTCAATATCCGGTGTCCATTGTGAACACCTCTATTACTCTCATCAACATAACATTGTAAACAAACACAGGTTTTACATCCCACACAATAAATTTCAATCAGTTTAGATGTATGTACAGGACACGGGTCTACAGGACTCTGGTTACCATGGTTACTGTGTTCCGATATTTCTTCTTCTTCAATTCCATCAACAAAATCAATGATCACGTGATTTTTAGTGACAGGAATTTTGCTGTGAATTTTTTTACACGAGTCACAAATATTCTGTTTACAATCTTTACATCGATAATTTACACTAGTTTGACTTTCACACACGTCACAGAGACCTAATTCTGCTGCTGGAGATGCTACGTCATTCATATTTGATAGGTCATCAGTTTCTGTAATAGCGTCCACTACGTCATCAACCCCACTGACGTCATCACCTTCAGATAAATTCTTAAATTCCTCGACTCCACCTGAAGGAAGTTGAATTTGTACACGACATAAAGGACACGGAAATTGTCCGTCTTTGAGAGATTTGTTGACGTAATCAAGTAAACATTGACAACAATAAACATGTAAACATGTCAATATTTTAGGTTGTTTACGATCATGTAAACAAATACTACACGTTTTATCTAGTTTTTCCATGGCAATTTTAGTTTAAAATCAGGAATATTTAGTCTTTTTCACACTTAGAAGTATCTTAGTTGTGTACAGGTTAATTTTTCTCCAATTTCAACTTCTATAATCCTATTACTACTTTCAGTTTCTCTTTTATCCATGTGTTTATAATGGGGAATAACTCTATTTATCATCCTAATAGTTTTCAGACCACAAATTAAGAGTACATTAAATTCACAATAAAATGAAGTTTTTCGTCCTATTTTCTGCACCCTTTGGGCTAATGAAAACGGATACCTCCATACAGTGGGCAGTGAGGGTAATCTTGCTAGGACAGTGACATTATCGAGGGATCTAGTCGCTTTTTCTCAGTCCCTCTGACCTGCATCACTGACAAGGAGGAAATAGGGTAGAAAATTAGGAAGGTATATCTTGACCTATGTCGGGATTGAACTACTAAATTCACCATATAGGCCAACTAGCCCTATACTGTCCGCTTACTACACTTTACCTCCCATACGCCTACTTCGGTCATATGATATTAGTTCTATTTTGATAGAACGCATGTCCAAACCTAGATTATTTTTCAATCCGAAATGTCGTCTGCTTGTGAGACAGTCAAATAGAGCTGTGGAATTTAATCTGTGAAATAAATTTTGACTTGGCCTGATTTTGATGAGGGTAATTTAGATATATACCAGTAAAATATACAAGTTCTTGTCGTTTCTTATAGGTAAAGAATTTAGAATTTTACTCGGTTGAAATGCAAAGTGAATGTGAAATCGTTTAGGATATTTCCAAATCATGAATCCATTATTTGTTATGTTATGAAATTGAAATATATCCCGTTACTCTGAGTTTAATATTAAATATAAAGTTAAATAATGAACAATATAAAAAGTTAAGGTTAAGTAATTGATAAAAATTAAATATTAATTGAAGTAATAAATAGAACAATAGAGATGAATTCAATATAAAACACATAACAATATGGTTAAATAAATAAAGATACAAAAAAGGTTAAATAAAAAATAATTCAAACCTCTGCAGAGGTGTAATTCTATTTTTTCGTATTCTCTTCCATATTATCAACAAAAAAAAACTCCCCTGTCTTCTTCTACAGAAATTCTGAAATTCACAATAGAACTTCCACTGAAATTGTATAGCAACAACTTTGCTCTAGGGTATATTATTGGAATTAGTGACGCCTTGGCATCCCTCCCCGTTTCTCTATTAGGGCATATAGACTTTAAAAAAAACATTTCTGACGACCCCCGTCCCACTCAAAAAAAAAACCATTCCGACACACACTGAAATTCACAACTCTTTACCCATCCTTGCTTCTGTATTAGGGCATCATTTTTTTTGCCCCCACCCCAATCCCTTTGATTACTAGTATGTTCGATGGCTCATGCCTCACGCCATTTTATGAGATAGTCGAGGAAAACAGGTGTTTATCTAAGAACGTATTCAGATGTATTTTTCTTTCTTCTAAAATATTTCATGCTCTTAACCTCTTTTTTCTAAATCGTCCAAAGAATTTCAATCTTTGACGTTGTGCCTCCAAAATTGACACACAAATTATAAAAAGAGTAAAAAAAGATATCGAAGAAAATCGACTTCCTGGTGAATTGTGTAATGTTGAATAATTTTGATATTGATTAAAATAAAACCAATTAGCTGATTAGACTAAGATAATTAATTTAAATCTTTAAACCCATACACTTTCTGTAATTACCAATCAGACCATCTAGATATTCCGAAACACTCTGCTTTCAACTAAAAACACATTAAATACCGTTTAACTTGAAAAACACTGTGTTGGTGGTTTCTGTTATAGAACGACTGTTAATTCGTCAGTGGTTCATTTTTACAATTTTCAATAAGTTTATATAAGAACCTCTTCTTCTTCCTCTTCCCTTTCTTCTTCTTCTACCATTTATTTCACGCATTAAATGCAAAAAGTTTGTGGTTTTTGCAATGTAACTGTTTGAAACATGAAATTAATTTGGCATAGTTCGAAGTAAGGTTGTTATATATGTATGAATAGATGAAATCGAGAAATTCTCGGCAAATTTTCTACTCCAGATTAAGATTTAGATATTAATCTCATTCAACGTTATGCAGTGTACAATGATAGCAATTTCGCAAGAAAATGGCGAGTATCTTTTATGTTCACGGGAAGCATGTGGTATTTTGCTTTCGTATCCGAATATCTAGATGTCGAGACATGCATCAACGACAGAGGAAACCCGAAACTACTATTCCATGAGGAACTCCTGGTGTCCGGGCTACGTATTCCCGAAACGATCTTAGCACTAGGATGTCCTGGGGTCTTAGCTTTTAACAATGTTTCTATAATATCCTGGCGCTAAGATCGTTTCCGGAATACGTGGCCTGGTTTTTAAATGATCCTGTACATTTGTGTTTCCATTTATTGTCCCCGACTGTTTCGGACTAGAGAGAAGGCCTGATCGTCTTTAGGCCATGTATATTACGGGCTAATGATGACACTCGTCCAAACTAATGTATGTAATTTAACACTATAAATACTATACATTTATTAAACTTGCATTCATTCTGAAATATTCATCTCACCCTAAGGTAGGCTTACTAACATTACTGATATATCAATACGTTATATTCAACAGGAATTTATACTGAGAGGCCAGAGACGTATCATATACAGAGACATTAAAACAGAACCTAAAAAAATTTTAACAGTGGTATTTCTATATTGCTCTGCTATTGATGTATTGTGCACTATTTTAACAGTGGTATTTCTATATCGCTATACAATTAATGTATTGAGCACTATTTTAACAGTGGTATTTCTATATTGCTCTGCAATTGATGTATTGTGCACTATTTTAACAGTAATATTTCTATATCACTCTACAATTGATGTATTGAGCACTATTTTAACAGTGGTATTTCTTTATGACTCTACAATTGATGTATTGAGAACTATTTTAACAGTGGTATTTCTATATTGCTTTACAATTGATGTATTGAGCACTATTTTAACAGTGGTCTTTCTATATTGCTCTACAATTGATGTATTGAGCACTATTTTAACAGTGGTATTTCTTTATGACTCTACAATTGATGTATTGAGAACTATTTTAACAGTGGTATTTCTATATTGCTTTACAATTGATGTATTGAGCACTATTTTAACAGTGGTCTTTCTATATTGCTCTACAATTGATGTATTGAGCACTATTTTAACAGTGGTATTTCTATATCACTCTACAATTGATGTATTGAGCACTATTTTAACAGTTAAAATATTGTATTTTCGTATTATATATATATATTTATCCATGAAAATGCTTATATATCTGCAAGTAATAACATCGGAGAAAGTCAGTTTTGAATGCAACGAATTAAAAGCATTTTAGGAAGTCACATTTCTTTTCACTTTCAGTAAAGTAATCTCAAAATTCATATTACCAGCTGATAAAGCTCAATTTCAGCTATCAGTATAGTCATCATATATGTGCATTTTCTGCTAATAGAGCTTAGTTTTAGCTATCAGTATAGTCATCTAAATATTTACTTTACCAGCTGATAGAGCTTAATTTCAGCCCTCTGTATATCAATTTATGCTTTACTAGCTGAGCTCAATTACTACTATATAGTCATCAAATATTTACTTTACCAGCTGATAGATCTCCATCTGTATCGTTATCTCTATTTGTCATTTACCAGACCTCAATTACAGCTATATATATATCTATGTAGCCATGTCAAATTGTGCTTTACCGGCTGATAGAGCTCAAATACAGCTATCTGTATAGTCATCTAAAATATTTATTTACTTTACCTGCTGATAGAGCTCAAATACAGCTATCTGTATAGCTATATGTCTAAATTTTTACTTTACCATATGATAAAGCTATATGACAGCTATCTGTATATTTTTTACTTCATCAGCTGATAGATAAATTTCAGACCGACAATACCAAAACTTTAACATGTCAAGCTATTACGAAGTTATACCTCGACTGCAACAGCGACCTTTCATGTATTGACGTAAATGGAGCGATTTGGTTAGTTTGAACGTTATAAAATACAGCCAATCACAGAGTTCTCAACAGAAAGTCTGTAAACAATAAGCCTGATTCGCTAACATACAATCCAATCAAATCGCTGCATTCCTTGATACTAATACTGGCTTTACAGTCAAGATATTAGACGAAGTAATAGCTGTAATAGCTTGACATTGTGACGATGTGATACAGAAAGGTTATATCAGAACTATAAATAATAACCTATTTTATATTCTATTCATTTCAGGTCAAAATGTTGTCATTTGTTGCTCAAATCGTATGCCTTCTCGTCGGTTCCATGACCGTCCACGCCCAGTTTATGGGCATGGGCGGAATGGGCATGGGAGGCATGGGAATGGGAGGCATGGGAATGGGCGGCATGGGAATGCCAGGAATGGGTATGGGCGGTATGGGAATGCCAGGAATGGGCATGGGCATGGACATGGACTTTGGAAATGACTTTGGAATGATGAACCCATTTGGTGGAATGGGTGGATTTGGTGGAATGGGTGGATTTGGTGGAATGAGCGGATTTGGTGGAATGGGCGGATTTGGCGGCATGGGAGGATTTGGCGGCATGGGAGGATTTGGCGGCATGGGAGGATTTGGCGGTATGGGAGGATTTGGCGGTATGGGTGGCATGGGCGGTATGGGCGGCATGGGCGGTTTTGGAGGCATGGGTGGCATGGGAATGGGTGGTATGCAAGGACTCCCTGGATTTGGAATGGGTGCTGCTGGAATCGGAATGCCTTCTATGCCAGGGATGCCACCTATGCCAGGAATGTCAGCTATGTCAGGGATGTCAGCTATGCCAGGAATGTCAGCTATGCCAGGGATGTCAGCTATGCCAGGAATGCCATCTATGCCAGGGATGTCAGCTATGCAAGGAATGATGGGAAATAGTGCTCCAGCAGTGTAAAGAAACTGTAGTTTTACTGTGTTTTTTGTATAATATTGATGGTGAACGAGATGAAATAAAATTTATATTCCTAGTACATTTTTCTCTTTTGTTGAATGTTTACTGTAACACTGACTCGTATTTATATCCACTTATCTCGATTGTAGGGGTTCTGTAGGACAGTCGGTTATAAACTGGTCCGCCATTCCATAAACCTTGGCCCCGTGTACCGATAAGCGAACACAACAAACAGGGGTCAGGGTAAGTCGGTTTAACCTTTGGGAACATTACATGAATTCATTTGCTTGCTTACTTCGTTCAAATCGGGGTCGTAGAAAGTCTGTTTATCTTGAATAAGTTGTCTTTCCTCATTATTCCAGATGGCCCAGCTGTAAATGGGTACGGATAATCCGCGAAAGATCAATGCCAAGAGGCATAGTTGTTATTATGGCAGACCATTACTGGCAAAAAGAAACCTGGTAGAAAATCGAAAAAAAAACATCAAAAAAGCAATGTCAAAATTAACCTTAATCCTACAACTCCTCGTCCTACGATCCTTGGCCCAAGTCTGGGGTACTTAGGTAATGGGCACAAGTTGCTGAAATCAGGGTCACATGAAATTGTGTACACTACTAAAGGTACACATTTTAGTGATAGCTTCACTAGACAGGGTTACATGAGCACGTTTAGTAGCTTCTCTAGACAAGGTTATATGGGCACGTATAGTAGCTTCACTAGAGAAGGTTACATGAGCACGTTTAGTAGCTTCACTAGACAAGGTTACATGAGCATGTTTAGTAGCTTCACTAGACAAGGTTACATGAGCATGTTTAGTAGCTTCACTAGACAAGGTTACATGAGCATGTTTAGTAGCTTCACTAGACATGGTTACATGAGCATGTTTAGTAGCTTCACTAGACAAGGTTACATGAGCACGTATAGTAGCTTCACTAGACAGGGTTACATGAGCATGTTTAGTAGCTTCACTAGACAAGGTTACATGAGCATGTTTAGTAGCTTCACTAGACAAGGTTACATGAGCATGTTTAGTAGCTTCACTAGACAAGGTTACATTGAGCATGTTTAGTAGCTTCACTAGACAGGGTTACATGAGCATGTTTAGTAGCTTCACTAGACAAGGTTACATGAGCATGTTTAGTAGCTTCACTAGACAAGGTTACATGAGCATGTATAGTAGCTTCACTAGACAAGGTTACATGAGCATGTTTAGTAGCTTCACTAGACAAGGTTACATGAGCATGTTTAGTAGCTTCACTAGACAGGGTTACATGAGCATGTTTAATAGCTTCACTATACAAGGTTACATGAGCATGTTTAGTAGCTTCACTAGACAAGGTTATATGAGCATGTTTAGTAGCTTCACTAGACAGGGTTACATGAGCATGTTTAGTAGCTTCTCTTGACAAGGTTACATGAGCATGTTTAGTAGCTTCACTAGAATCTCACGTGAAAAAACATATTATTAAAGAATATTAGAGACAGGGTTAATCTTCATTTTTGGCAGTTTCGGTCTTCTGTATAACAGTTTACTTTTCAAAATATTAATACTGTACTAAGAAATTTATTATCTTATACAACAAAACAAATAAATACCCTGTTTGCTGCTTCCAGTTTAGATCTATTTTACAAACAACTTTCATTTAGAATACGTCATTGTTAATGAGAGTGTGAGAGTTTCGTTCCGTTTTTTATTAGCTTATATTTTACTTCAGTTAGGGTCTAACGACAGCCCTTTTGAACTTACGTCAAATTAACCTTTTGTGTTAACTTACACAATGCAAAGATGGAAGAAATTTGATTGGTTAAAGCAGACGTCAGAAAAGTAATATTTATCTTAAGTCGTAATGACAACAACGTTCTTGACACTACAAGTACAGCCTACTAGTAAGTGTTCAGTAAAGAAGCTCAATAACATCAAGGACAAAACTTACTCTGCTTTCCGTTCTTTAATCTCCAGTTCTCATTCAACTACGTAGTTGCCAATATGAACATAGATAAGGGCGAAATAATAAAACGAAATTCAGGGAGAGAATATTTTGAAATAAAAATAATAGGTGAATATTGGATTACAGGAGTTCTAAATAGATTCCAATTTTCCGTCAAAAGTCTGTGGTTCCTGAAATAGAAACGCTTAGTGGTATATGACGTCACTATTGCATAACACGCTTAGCTTTAATGAAATTGCAAAACCCACAAACATCTGACAGAAAGTTGGAATGGTGCAAATCGAGGCTATCAGTGTCCCCGATACACATGAAACCAAATAAAATTCTATTTTGGTCATGTTTTAAACATTCTAGAAAACAACATTGTTAATACAATAACTCCACTTCTACTGATATTAGGTCTATCTGGAATACTAAATTCAATATTGCCAGTAGACCATCTATATCATGAAAAGAAACCTGCGTTTTGCTCACATTTCATCATCAGACCCTTTTTCACACTGTAAGAGAAAAATCCTGCCAATCTTTACTAGAATAAACGAATGACTTTTGAACATTTAAAAAAAATACACAACACGTCTCTTATTACACCACTGCAGCGTCCCCTCGTAACACTTTATCTGTCAAATCCACAAAACCAGGTTTAGGCATTACCAAATCAGGAAACGCATCATTTGCGTTTGGCACTGGTATATTGGGGAAAGTGTTCGGTGGTCCAGGGTTAGGTGAACCAATCGGAGCATTTAATATTCCTATTCGATTGCCATTAGGTGGAGACATTACGTTTTGATTGTTCTCGAAAGTGTTGGGAAGCAAATCGCTGGTGGTCCCTCGATTGTCCCACGGATCTGACCACCTTTGATCAAATCCAGAATTAAATTGATTCATCATGTTGTATCCAAATCTATTTCTCGGTCGAGCACCGAATCCCATACCAAATAATCCATAACCGTAAGGGGCATATAACGGTCTTACTACTACGGGCATGACAGGAATCACATGCGTTACGGGTATGACGGGTGACAATACCACACCGTGCCAAACTCCACCGTTGACGGACGCGATGAGACACACAACACACGAGACAGTCAATAAATTTCCAATCATATTCTTCTTGTACTTCGACCTGCAAAAAAAAACAAACAAGAATAATAACAAAATGTGGGAAGAGAACGGAATGAAAGGAACCTTTTCAAGAATAGAATACAAGCTGTTTTTGAAAAGATGAATGCAAGAAAGATGATTCAAAAATGATTTTGACAAAATGAATCCTAGATAGTAAATTTATAGAAGTCAACGCCAACAACAAATGTTTTAAAACTAACACCCAATTTTACGCCAGCTGTATTTCAATGACTTGGTTCATTTTGTGTCAGCCAGAACTAACTTTGAAAGATGCCGGACAAATCAGAAATTTCGCCCATAGATAAACTAATTATCAGCCAATTTGGACAATTATTAGACAAATTCTAAATTTTTACCTGAGATGAAAGCTTTGTTTCTGCTACTGCACTACACACAGTGTGAGTGAACTTCATTCACCTTGCGGCCAGTCATAAACACTCTGATCATTAACCCGTGAACTTTCTTAAATACTTCCGCTCTTTAACCCTCTTCCTCATTCTGTCATTAGAAAACTTGTACGGCCTCGGGTAACTGGGCTGACTAGACGATATCAGTTTCACTGGGGTTGAATCATACTAACGCACCCTTATCATATTAAAGGTGGTGTGGGTGGATTTGGGGGCTGCTCTGGGGTCAAAATAAAAATAATTGTGTGAGGATTATGTCCTCCGGTTCTGTACCCTTATTGATCCAATGAAAGAATTAGGGATTTATGTCCTAATATTCTACACCATATGAGTGAAGGCGTAAATTCGCTAATGTACTGTTCTACATATTTTTAGTATCGAAAGAAATTGAGCTTTGCGTCATATTGTGCCTCTATTTAATCATTTTCAATATGAACCAAGAGTGGGATTTACTTATATTATGGATTATAAAATTCTATATATTTATACTAAACGAACTAATAAATTTGAAGAACATTTTCGGTGATGTCAAAATTATGGAATCATTTTTTAACAAAGTAATCGAAACCTTATCCTGTTATTTGTAAAAAAGAATTATCAATGATATTGACGTAACCAAAATATTACTTCTGAACCCTATTGGGTAGATAAAATCAAATGGAACCAGTGCTATGCCCTTCTGTTATTTTGTGAGGTTCTAGCACAGTCGGTTAGAGCGTCGGTTCCTAACATGACGTCATTTGCTTGGTAACGTAAAGCAAATGTCGGCCGATCTTGATAGGCGAGTGAAAGTCTGGTTATTTTGAATGAGTCATCTTCACTCATAATTCCAGTCGACCCAACTGTAAACGGATACGCATAATCCGGAAAAGATCAATGCTAAGAAGTTTGGCCAAGGACCAGCTGTTAGTAAAGATCCTTAACTGTGAATCTAAGTTGTTGCAGAAAAACCAAAGACAATGTAAAAATCAGCCACGATTGGGCAGCGATTGTCCAAATGTCTATCAAGGCAAAAGAAGAGTCAGAGAATTTTCTAACTGGTTGACATCTATCAAAAACTACGCTTAAAAGATTTAAATGTTGATTGGGCGGATATATTTCAATTGATGAGTCAATTAAGGATCAATCGGATGACGTCATCCGGATGTATTAGATAATTATTAATTACTATTTAATTAAGCAATTTGTTATTTTATGTACAATCCAACTACCAACTACTACGACTACCAACTACTACCTAGTTTGCGATATCAGCATCCGCTGGAAGCGAACGTTAACTTGCCATCTACCAACCAACCTATTTATGTGCGATATCTTAGAACCTACAAAACGAAATGCAACTTTTCACCTTAAACAATGTCTTCTACTGAAAGTTTTACTTTGTAACCTAAGCCCGTGATTCAGTGACAAGAGTCGTAACATCTCCATAAAAGCAAAATGAAGTGCACCAAGCAAATAATTTTTTTATTAGAAACGTGCCTTGGGAACGTAAAATGGTAGCACATGTCGCAGGTTGTAGAATATCGAATTTCAACTTTTTCTTTTATTTTCTTCACGTTTGCCATCAAGTAGAATTTTAGTCGCCATAAAGATCGCAAATGAACTCAGTCTGGTGTTTTTCTAAAATCACTCTTAATCCAATTCATACAAAATAATCGATGAAAGAACAGTAAATATGGGAATTTGCACGGTTGTCGTGGTAGCGGTTCCAACATTGTACACTGCATGGGGAAGAAGGATTTAGTAGCCTGGTAAGGGGCTGACAATCCGGAGAACAAATACAAATTGAAATCAAGTGTATTTATTAAAACTAGAATATTCTACATGTGTTATAGAGTTTATTTATCTGGAATCATCAGGGTTATCTATCTCACGACTTTCATCTGGTTTCTCTGTAATATAAAGTTCAAAGGAGTATGGGTTTGGGTGATTTAACTCTCCCTATCATTGACCTTAAACTTCAACTACGAGACCCTGTATACCAGGACAGAGGCAGTTGCCTGTTTGTTTTCGATTTCTAACTGTCGAGTGGTCCATGAAGACTCGGTCTTTCCTGAAACCTAAATATCGTATTAAGAGTATCATTTCGATATATGACTGCATCTAATACCTTGACATCATTAGGCAATTTTCTTCTATCATGGAATGCAATAATTCGATTGGATTGTACGATATCGAATACAGCTAATCGATATCCTCGACTTACGGTCTGTAAACAATAATCGTATACATTATTATTTTCTGTATACAAGCTGTATTTACTGGCGTACAATCAAGTCAAATCACTTCATTTACAAACTTCGGTCATACAAAAAAAGTGCCCTAGTGTCAAGGCATAAGATGCAGTAATAGTTTGACATAATGAAGATGCTCCACCATAGTTATCAATTAAAGTAGAGCTACTAACCAACATTTTAGGAAGTCGTGGAAGAAATCTCGACCCCTCTGTAGAACTCTCTGTATATATTCACCAGTTATAGAACCACATTCTTCGGATGTTACTGCTATAGCACATTCAGATAGTTCATCTAGATCTCTACAATTACATTTAAACTTTACAATAATACTTCAGATTTCAGAGCTACAAGAATGGACCCTGTAAAGATCCACAGACAGTTAAAATCGACAAATAGAGAGCTTATGCCACCGTTCTAGTAAATTACTCTTATTGCACACTGCCCTGGCAACATTTTCCCCGCCACCATCATTTACAGAAAAATATAAATAGGACGCAAAACACCATACGTTCAATGAACGTGTTACCCAGTACGGACTGTAAGAACGGAATCAATCATACTAACATACTATGGAGGCAGATTTAAAGTTGTAAATTGTTTCATGTTATGTATTGTAATTGATATCATTTAGTGTAGAAGATAAATATTGTTTAAAACATACTTACGAACATGTTGCGTCAGGGGCTAGATTGTGACAAACACCCATACGATACTGCCAGTAGGAATTAGACCAACAATCATAATGAGCTAAAAACTCTGAAAAAACAACGTGATTTGTCGAAACGTTGTGAACTATGAAACCCAGAAGCAGTATGCCAAATAACAACAATGTACTTTTTTAAACGTTGTGCGCCATTAAACCAAGGAGTAGTATACAATATAAACTGATGATGACAATGTAAATTGTTGAAGCGTTGTCTACAATAAAAACCAGAAGTAATATACACATTGTAGAAACGTTATACTTGGGTTATCTTTAACATCTGAAATAAACTGTCTACGAATTATTCTTACCTTTATATCCGTCATGACAAATGTACTGTAAAAGAGCTTGAAATGTTCCGGCTGATGCATAAACCTCGGTACCATCACATTGATCTCTGAGGTTGTTTATACATGGAATAGCGTCGTTAGAAATACTACAAACACACAAATAGATTATTAAAAAAGGTAAGAGGTGATGGTGGGGCTGTGAGTACCTGTCACAAATCTGACATCATTTGACATGGGGCCCTGGAAAGATACCAGGGTTTATTGTGTTCTAGGCGAGGGTAATTAATATACTCTTCAAAACGCTTCTAAAATAAAACTATGTATTATAACCAAAGCAATTGTCTTATTACAATAAAAGGGGTTAATAACAGTAATTCAAGGCCTGTCCATATCTCCAGTACAATTAGTAATGTAATAATTGTGAAGCCAATTTAAATAAAAGTCTCTTACCTACAAATTATTTGGAATTTTTTATGTAGAGGATCAATATCTGCAGGGAATAATGGAGGCCGAGTGTGCTCAATATAATCTGTACAATTCCGTACTGGACAATTCACCCCGTTCTCGTCTCTTTTAAATACTCCAAAAACACTGGCTTCTGTCAAATATATAAAGTTGATTGTATGCGATCTTATTGAACGACCTGTGGAGTGGCATCACACGATATGATTCGAGTTTCGGTTCCAAAGTAGGCCGTCGTCACGTCCGGGGCTTAATTAACATACTAACGGAGAGTTAAAACGCCACAAGATAGTAAATAACTGTAAATAGTCCTAAAATTGACAAAAGTTGGTTTTAGCTAATGAGCTACATAAATAATTGACATAACAAAGGCACGTGGACCATTGTTTGAGTAACAATATTCCCCTCTAAACCGACATCTGACCGGTTTACTGGAGTTAATTCTATCGATATAAGGAAATATATATAAAGAAACGATTTCATTCTTTATGTGATCCAAATCGGCGAACATGTCATAAAAACTGCATATATAATAATATGAACTGATCTATATGTAAAACCATAAAACTTACCCATTGTCGTCACCAAACATAAAACTGAAAAAAACAGGGAAATACTGTGACTAAACATCTTGAAGATGGCGGTGATTCACTGCTGGCTGGTCAAGTACTCGGGTTTCTCGAGATACTCGGTGGGGTTCGTTTGCTGTTATGGTACAAGGTTCCTACACGGTAAATGATCCCTTAACGCTGATTCTTGTTGTGCTGAATCTAGTAAGGTATAGAAGCTGGATCTCTTCAGGTTAACGGTGTCGTCTTATGATTACCTTGGATTTCTACTAACAAGGCACTGACGGTTAAGGAATATGTTCTTCACGTTGAAGTATCAAGAGTTAATTGCCTTGAAGTCCACCACTGGATCCGATGAGTGCGTGACGGTACGCGATCTACAGAATATGTTTATATAAGATCTGATGTCGGTAGAGTTTTATACACTGTACACCAATTATATAACCACCAACAAAAGGTTAGATTCGAATCTTCATGAAGGCTTATCACAGACGTCATATTGGGCCTCTTCCTCCGTTGTTTTTTCTCATTCAAAGTTCACCTCAAATTACTTCCGATAAAGAGAGTCTTCTGGTACGTAACGATGGTACAGTACAGTACGAACATACGACAGGAATCTGGATAGTTCTGCTAGTCAAGCTGGTGTCTTCTAGCAAATACAGCCACTCTCAACTGAAAGACTAAAAAAAACTGTCGAACTGGACAAGATTTGTCGGCACTCCCTTCGTAAACATGGCCAAGAGTTGATGACTAGTTTGGCTTTACGTAGGGCATCATGGCATCATTAATGCGTCGGCCTTATTGAATCCAGAATGAGACTCATAACGCAAACCTTGGAAAGGTAACATTATGTCACTGCATAAAATCGCCACCATGACGTCTTTAAAGCCTCCTTCTCCAATCCCACTAAGTCGAAACTGATCATGTTTTACATCATTAATATTGGAATTGATTAAGCTATTTAATTAGATGAAGTTTACCTTCACACATTTCCAAGAAATTTTCTTGTTGTTTAGCAAGTGTTTAATGACGTCAAATTGACTAAGGTTTATTGTTAACCCAGACCGGCATCTAGGGTCTTTTCATGAGAGATCCTCACAGTGTGTACATGATTTGACTCTTTACAAGTTTCATCTCGTTAACACCTTAATACAACCATCTTTACAATGTCAAGCTATTGCGAATTACGTTTAATACCTTGAATGCAATAGCCACATATTTTGGTAACACAATACAGAAAATACGGCGATTTGATTGGATTGTACGCTGGCGAATACAGCCAATCATAGCCCCTGATAACCCGTGCAGGCAAATTGTTTAGTGTCTTTGGCTCTGATTGGTTGGCTGTATACGTTAATGTACAATCCAATCAAATAGTTGCATTTCAACGATTTTCTGTGATACAAGAAAGGTAGTAACTGCAGTGAAGGTATTACAAATGAATGGGAACACAGTCTGTCTGGTGTCGAATCTCTAATGGTAACATACAAACTATGATATGACTGATTAATAAGAAATTCATTTCATTTCATTTTAACTGCGTGTTATAAATTATAAATATTAAATAACGGAACACAATTTTATGGTAACCTACTACTTAGTTTTATTACACACGACGTTTCAACAATTTACATTGTCATCTTCAGGTGAAGTGAGGAAATATTGTAGCTAGGTAGGTAGATGACAAGTTAACGTTCGCTTCTTTTTTTTTTTTTTTTTTTATTGCACTCAGATACGGTGTCAGTGTCGGGATCTCATATATATATATAGGCCAGACACCAAGTACGCTTTCTCCACTGAAGATGTGTTTTTTTCTAGCGGCTACTCGGCTTCGCCAACTAGAGTGTTAGGGGCTTTTGAAGTTTGCGTTCTTATGAATGGCTAGAAGGATCAAAGGGGGATTAGTGACCCTAACTCTAGACACAAGACTGTTACCTGTTATTGTTAGTAAGTTATATCAAGGGTGAGTTTTTTTTTTTAAAAGAAAGGTAGGTATAGAAAACAATTTACATTGTCATCTTCAGGTGAATTGAGGAAATATGGTACAAGAAGGTATATATGTACACAAAAATATGATTGAAGTGACAGTAAACACCAGGGTGACAATAAGCAACTAAAGTGGGGGATTATCTTGGTTGATTATGATGACTAATAATAATAAAACTAAGGAGTAGTATACCATAAAAGTGTCTTCCGTTATTTAATGTGATCTCTACCCCTAAATGTCGCTAAGGATTAAAGTATAAATGAACTGAGTTGAACTATGGTCGGTTGAAATCTAAATGTCAAACTGAAATCTCCACCGAGTCACAGTGGTCCGTTATTTAATAATATTCTTAATTTACAATAGTAAAATAATAGTTAAATCATAGCAAGTAACATTCTAATGGTTGAGAAGTGGACGGAGTGGTTTTCATATAATTATCCACAGGTCTTGGAATAGCAATCAGCTGCAATGTAGAAATGTAGATCAGAGATATTTTAAACTCCAATAAACATAATATTCTACAATAGAATAAAATTCTCAATGAAATCACTAACGACTATCATGAAATCGTTCTGAAAAACACTTTGTTTAATATGTCGCCATATAAAGATTACATGACAGTGGCTATAATACTATAGAGACTGGTTGAACCAAGGTGAAACCCAAAGGGAGGCTCTACCCCACGACTAAAAATACAAAATAAAAAAATGGCCTAAAGTATACACATGTAAACCAACTAAAGCCCCGGTCCCACTGAGCATTTAGAAATCTGCGATGGTCTTGCGATTGTGCACTTTTGTCTTTTTCTATCGCCAGTGTTCGCAAACCATCGCAAAGCCAAGTGGGGCTGGGGCTTAAGCAACCAGTAATATATATACATGAGTGAAATAGCATTAACTACAGACTGAAGGACTTTAAAATCTCCCATTAACAGACATTACATTGATTTACAGATGGGTCTCAGAATGGAAGAGAGCGTTTGTTAAATAAAAAACGGAAGGGCCCCAACCTATATTAGTCCACGGCCTCCCTCTCATCTAGTTGAGTCACTGTGCATGATCTCCCATTAACATAACAATCTATAAAAAATATAGACATTTTATTACATAACATTATTATATAAGTTAATTATATCACAATATATTTATATATACAGATATCACAGATAAAAAATAATACCTACATTCATAACTTTACACTTAAATATAAATTATTTAGTAGGTCGGAAGGGATGAAGCGATTGGTCGTTCGAATTGGATAATCAACAGAAGGCCATGTGCCACAGGATGTGGACGTTAAATAGCCTTCGACAGTTGGAAATCGAAAGAGAAGGCTAATTAATGTCCTACCCTCATATTTCACTACATGGCGCCTAAACAGGTTCAGAAAAGTTTTTAGGACTTTTAATCTTCATTTTATTTAGTGCTCTATTTATACCAATAGTATTGTTTGTCAAGTACGAAAGTGATTTTCTAGTCTTTTTATTAGCTACAGGTATTAACTATCAGATCCAAACGTCCAGTTGTTCCCCATGGGCATAACGTAACTTTCACTTAATATACTTAAAGTGACACTACGTCTTAGAATGAACATAAAAGTTCTCAAGAATGGTCAATATGAGTATATATTCATCTGTTAGTTTACCTGGTGTCATAAAGTTACACAAGAATCCCTGTCAATTCTGGAAAATTGGAAAATTCATAAAACTAAGTATTGATTGAGAAACGCTTAATCATAATATTAAGCTTTTTTCATTAGTTAATTGCATTTTTATGGATAATTACTAAGTTTTTTTGGATTTATCAGATTATATCAGGATCCTGTTATGTTATTTATGACACCAGGTATATCTACTGATGAATATATGCTATTATTGGCCAAGTTTAAAATTCTTAAATTTTATGTTCATTCAAAGACGTAGTATCCCTTTAACATTGAAATGGTGTTAACAGAAGCTACTTCGATGAACAAAACTTAAAAGCTATCAATCTCCATGCGAGAGAAACAATACTATTGGATTCATTTCATGAATAATTTCAGCAAATATAACCTCAGACGTGTTTCACTAGAGTGACAAACTTCTCTGTGGCTCGGTAATTAATATTAGTGAACTCGTTTCACAAATAATGTTAACAAATATCTCAATATGGGTTGACAAAGCATCTTGTATCACTATAACATTTTCTCGTTTCCTAAATATTTTTCACTATCACTATCACTACAGGCTCGGCAAGTATCAGCATTGGACTCGTTTCATGTATAATGCATATATATTTCACTATGGATAGATCAGCGTTTGGACAGGTTTGATTAATGATATTTTTAAATAGTTTATAATAGCCTAACTAATAACATGATGTCAAGGATGAAATAAATCCCTGATCATATCAACTCGTCCATCCGACTCGATATAACCACGTCGTAGATTTCTCTCCGTATAGCGAGTCGGAGATCTGTAGCGTACACGCCGTGGACTCGGAGCTAGTCGTGTTGTTCGGACATAGTTGGCATACATCCGAGGTGGTTGTGGCGTTAGAGGTACTTCTTCTACGACTAATGGCGACGGACTCCGACGTACCACAACGCGTTCTCTGATCGGAGCAAGTGGTAAAGGCGGAGACGGACTTAGTCGCATCACTGGAGAGGAACTACGGTACACTCGATGATAATTGGACGCTCTAGACAAATTGACAGATCCAAAAGTTTCACTGAGTCCAGTCAGGGGACGAGGAAATCCAATACCCCGACGCACTGGCATGGGCAGATGATGAAAACGCGGTCGGATTACTGGAGGTAATTGTTCTACGGACACACCGTTACGAATGATCGGCGTTGCGTACAGATGATAACGTCCATCATTGACAACGATTTTCACATCCGTCCTTGGATACACACCGTACGTTTCACGCAACTCTGACCGTAGATTAACTGGTAGCGTGTCAAACTGCCCGATGTATTCGTTCGTTGGAATGAAATCCCCGTAGACCAGTGTTCCGTCAATGGTATACGACCCGCCTTGGAGCACAGCTGGAGAGCTTTCAATCCGTACTTGGCTGGCCGCAGCAATCGGAGGCAGGACTGGCATGGATTTATAGGGTGGAGGATATTTTCCGACCATCGAGTGATAAACGTTTGGTGCGTACGGTGGTGGGTTATAGTGTCCTATAACAGGCTGACTGTCAAAACCTACAGCATCTGCTACTGGGGTGGAGTAGTAGTCTCCGAACGGTAACATACCCTCATGGTGGTAGGTCATCTGGGAGGCAGTGACGGGATCTAAGGGTGTTACATACGATGCAGCCCCACCCACGCCTTCCCCATAATGCTGTTGATAAACCGGTTGAAGTTCAGGCGGGAGGAGAGAATTGTAGGCCATTTTGGATGTTTCTTATTTGTTAAGTCAAATTACAAATCCATTGTGCAGAATCAATAATCACCAGAATCACCACGACAGCAACGTTAGTTTACTGTCTTGATATAATGAATATAACACTGTTCCTATGGAATATTTCAGACGCAGAATTCAATTGTAGGGGAATGGATATATCGACTTAATCCAAAAGCACAGAAACAGCGTTCAAATCGAAGAGTATCAAAAATTACAAAGTACACTTTTTGAATACCGTACACTATCTCAATCAAGATGTTCCTTGGAAGGTTTTGGAAGATTTTAGCTGTTGATAAGGTAAATACAAATCAATGCGTCTTCTATTGCTGGACAAACCTTCCCCTATCGATTAATTCCTTCCACAAAAATTTCTGAATTTACTTCCACGTGGTACTCCGAATCGTTCCAGGAATAATTCACGCGTTTCTGATGATGCGGGAACAATTTAAACTTTGATAATGGCACAATTGATGAAATAATGTTACGGAAACCCTAACAAATCGTCCATTTTGTTTGGGTGTTGTGCATTATGTCAAGTTGTAACCAACCAACGCTGGTCGTAAACCATTGTCAGCTCTCAATACCCATCGACTCAATAGCAACCAAACGACTTGTACAACACGACAATGAAAGGGTTAACCTATCAATAAAAGAAGGGTTTTGCTGAACAGTTAAATGTATTTCTGAACAATGAGGCGTTTTGTTCGACTACATTCTATTAGATATAACTAGAGTAAATAATATATAGTATTAAAGGCCCGTGATTATTAGCAATAATATACAAATAGGGGTGTTTATTAAAGGGAATGCACCGTTTGGTATTTTCATAGTGTACTACAGTATATAGGGTTTAGGAAATAAAAGGGTTTTCAAGTTTGGGTTAATGAACATTTGCCATGTGAAGTAGTGGGCAGGTGTAAAATGTTGCAAGAACAGCTTCATTAGTCTATTAGCTCTCGCTTTTCCTCGTCAGTTCCTACTACCATTAGCCCTGCAGGGTAAAGAGGGCCTGGAAGGCATCATGTCGGAATCTAGCCCACACCCTTTGACTAAAAAACAGCTGAACCACCCGATTCCTTTGAGTTTTGGAAGCTGTCTTGTTCTTCATACAGAACAGTTTCTTATCGCGTGTATTAATGAGTCATGTCTCTCAAGTCAGAAATATTTTCTTTGTTGATGCAGTAGTTGGCCTGAAAATGTTTATCACATATCCTTGATTTTCCACTCGATCCTGTCCATTTTGTCTGTAAGTAGTACAGTCAAAATGAACCACCTTGCATTCCAAAACCTCTCATTGGTTTAACAGAGAAAATGAACACGATAGGATGTTTATTCCCATCTATCTTGATAAATACAGGAATATTACTCGGCTTATATTGAAATCTCATTGATTTTGTCTGCGTTTTGTGCATTTGGGGGTGTTGAACATAACCCTTCGTGATACTAAACATGTTTTATCTTTCGTATTATGATATCAATATTCTACTTTTCTGTCCTCCTCATTACAAGAAGACTGTACCCAGACCTCGAGGGTAGAGAGCACGAGTCAAACTGGGGGCAAATAGAAGCATTACAATAAAGACCTTCCAAAATGGGAGCAGTTAAACTGACCATATTTTGATGTATTTGGGCTTTTGTTACTTTATAATTGCAGATGACCTGATCAGAACCATGGTGCAGCTGAATTGGAGAAACACTTTTGTGTGCCCTTTCCATGTTCTGTTATCGAGTCTCTAGGGCATGACCCAGACCCTGTCCCATTCATATGACTCATGTGGTCAAGTCTGCTTTTCGATATCAACATCCCCTGCAAGTGTTTGTATGACTCGGAATGCTCTGTGGTAAGAGTTCCCTGAATACTAGTGTTTAACAAGGTACCCTATGCTCTATCCTGCCCAAACCAGTGGCCTCTTGTTTTCTATAAGTACTGACGGCAGTGGTGGAGCCAGGTTTACGTCCGAGGGAGGGGGGCCAAATATCTGAGATTGCCAGATTTTCTAACCAAGTTATGAGATTTTTGCCTGAAAAACTTGCTTTCGGGGCTGCGAGGATGGGGGGTGGGGGTGGTCTCCTTTGGCTCCGTCACTGACTGACGGCAATTATTGAGCTACAGCATTCCATCTAAAAGGTGCTGTTGAGTGGACATGCTCCGTCGGAAAGCTCCATTGGAACTCGGAGGTTTACAGAAGGACCCATTCTTCCCTCAGTTCCTTTCGTTTCCTTTCTCTTAAATGTACGTTAGGAACTCTGATACAATCTTTGGCTTTATGGGAGTCCCAGGCCTGAAATTGATTTTAAAATGATGATATACAGCTTTATTTCAAAACGTTTAAAATATCACAGTAGTGGGTTGTGGTATAAAAAATGATAAATAACAATTCTCAATAAAATAATCAATAAATAGAAAATCAAGCGACGTGGATGTGAATGGTTTAGACGTAGAAAAAGTATTATTTTATTTGAATACCGGTGACATTATTCTTTACAGGGATTTGAAAGGGGTTTGTATCCTTTTGAATGTTTATTAAGACCTGTATATGTCCAACATGGCGGTCAAGCCTCGATAATGATACCAATATGGGTGGATGCTGGATATAGAAGTAAACCTGAATCAATACACTAACAAAACAAGAGAGGCTTGACAATTTCTTTTTAATCTATGATAAGTTGGGTCACCGTCTGGTCATTAAGGGTGAAAACAGGTTGCTAAATATCTGACTTGTTTCACAGACTTAAGAATTAGTATTATTTGCCCACTGTATAGTGTATTGTAACAAGAGAATATACTGTCTGTGTGTTGCACTATGTCTGTGATATGATACAAGACTGATCAATGTTCCACCTGAACTAAGGCAGGGAAAGTTCTCATTCTTAACCGTTCTACTTCAGCACGTAATACAGCCACTTCCTGGGCCTGTGCCTTGGCTAAATCTACTAATTTTCGTCTCTGTACTATTTCTTTATATCTTTTCTCTGCTCCTGTATCTAGTCTTCTTTCAGCTGTAAATAAATCAAATTAGGATTAATGCCTGTTCTATATCTTGTTGGTCCAATAAAATTTAGTTTTATACTCTCCTGTTCTGAATCAAATATGGCCAACAAGGCATAACTTATTGGGCCAAAGAAATTCCATGGAGTATTAGAGGCAACTCCCATTATTCTGTACCTTAATGTACTAAAATGTTGTTCTAGCAGTGCATCTTTTAAGGGTAATGAAGCCAGCAGTGTGTAGTGAGAGAATATTGTCCAATATTGTGCATTAAGTTCCTTAGATATTTCCCAAGCGTTGACAGATCTTTATCATGCACATCCTGCATCACATAGAACCCCCTTTTTACCTCGCCCTTTTTGTTCTGCATGAATAATGGAAAAACAGAAGCAAGTGATTTGTTGATTCCCCACAGATCCTTCCTAAAGCAAAGGGAGGTAACTTATCATTCACAAATCAGACCTACCATTAACATCATCAATATGTTTTCTTTCATTAACTGAAACATTAATCTCAGTCAGTTGACTATCTAGGTCTTGATTAGAAGATTCCTTAGTTCGTATCGTCTTATTTAAATCTTTTAATATTTTTCTTTTTTCACTGACGTTCTTCTCATGTGTCTGAAATAATTATAATAATAGATCTGTAAGGGAGGCTGTCAGTCAAGCAAAATGCATACTTTACAAAATGCTTTCTGCCACTTGGAGAAGTGAGCTCGACATCTTTCAGAGGGCAACATGTTTCTAAGTTTTGCCTTTTAAATTTGCTATCATTTTACATAGTAAAAGAATAGTCTGTGGGACCCCTGGATTAATTTGTGACCCCCTCACCTAATGTTTCCTAGATACTCCACTGCAAAAGGGTCCACATACATGTAGTTTAATAATAACAATTTGGTAACTGGGTTTGTTAACCAAGTCATCTTCAACAGAAAGCCATATATTGTCTTATTAAAAGTCTATAACAACTGTAACAGAGCTTTTATTTACCTTTTTGAGTAGTTGTAAGGTTTGCTCCAAAATTAAAATATCTTGAGTTTTCTTCGATACATAATCTTTCTCACTCAGATACTATAAATATATATATATATACATTGGATTAGTATCAAACATAATTATTACTATTTTATTTCTATATATCACAGAGTATTTTAAAATGACGAGTTGTCAATTTAACATTCAAACACAGATAATTCTAGACACACATGTATTTAAAGGTTCAAATTTCGATGGAGAGCTGTGAACACTAACACTGATTGGCTTAGCTAAATTCCTGTTTCTGAGACAAAAGTATGATTGGTCCAAAAAAATGATGCATCTGTCCCTTTAACCTCCTCCTAAGCAGAAGCAGAAATGTAGACGTAAAACTCCTGGCCTTGTAGTTACATATCAAGGGTAGGTGTTGGAGTGGAAAGCGCTCCTTAAAAGTGAAATTGAGGCCAGTGAATGAGTACAATTAAATTGGTCAGGAATAATTACCAGTGTTCTCTCTAATTCAACGCTACAATAAAAAATACATGTGCATTTTCATAATAATGATTGGGATAACTTACAGCTTGTATTTCTCTAGTAACCTTCATAAACTGTATATCTTTCATTTTATTCTGTAGATCATCCATTTCCATTAACATTCTCTTGTGTTCCCTGCAAGTACAATAAACATCTTAAACCCTCTAGTCTGCTAGACTAATACCTTGCCTGCAATAGCCACCTTCTTTGAAACACAGAATGCAGCGATTTGATTGGATTGTACACTAGAAAATACAGCCAAGCAGTCTGTAAACAATAAGCCATAATGTTTACAGTCTGTCTGTATGAAATTGCATGTCCTTTTCATTTACCAGTTGTTGCTATATACAATAATGCTACGAAGTGCAGGTTTTGTATTGACTGAAGTCATTTCAATTCGTACAATTCCATGGTGTACTCTGTAAGTGAAACATGCTTTTAAAGGAGTAATAATTTGACACAGTAGAAGTTTAAAGTAAGATAGACATAAATAATGGATATTGGCAGTTTACCATTCTAACTGTATTATTCCTTTTCTAAAATCTTTACTGTCCATCATACTAGCTATCTTCTTCTCTCCATATTGCTAAAAACAAATCATTAGTTTCAGTTGATAGATGTAGAATGTAGTCAATAAGAATATATTTAGTTATTTTAAACATAAAATGTCTTCGATATTAGTTTCGATAATGAATGGAGGTTCAGATTGCAGTCAAAGACATGTCTTAACACAAATTCTAAACAAAAATTGCTTCTATATTAGTTTCAATAAAGAATGACAGAGACAGAATGCTATACAAGAACATATTTTTACAGTTGTTTTAAAGGATAGCCTAGAAAGACAATCAATATACTGTAAGTTGTCATGTTTTCAGAATTCAAACTTTCAAAATGGATTTAAATTGTTCCTATCTTGTTTTGTTTGTTAGATGACATCATTCCTCACTATTCCAGTCAATTAAAGTAAAAAGTACAAATTTTCAGTAAAGTACAATTCTTTTGAAATATTCTATTGATAAGTTTATTAAGTATCTGAAAGTATATCTTACTTTAATAGTTTTATTCAGGTCTTCTACCACACTGCGATGTAAGAGAGCACTAGGTTTAAAATCATGGACAAATCTTCCTGCATCAACTTCTACTTGACCTTGTTTTAATAATAACTGAACTTCTAAATTAATTGTAAATCTTTGACGGTCTTCTCTTAATCTGAAATAAATAACATGAAAATATCTTAAAATGTACTGACAATAATTAAATTAAGTTAATGAAACAGTTTGGCCAAGGACTAGCTGGAAGAAAAGATCTTCATACACCTAAGTGCTTATCCTTGTAGAATATAGTTGTATTTGTTTCTTTCCAAGTTTTTGTAATATTCTATGTAATGGTTCTTTCTTTCTTTGAACCCTTGAGCACTCTCAATCGTGCAGCTGTAAATGGGTTTGTATCATCAAGGGAAGATCAGTGGCAAGAGGTTTGGTCGTGGACGAACATCTGGTAGAAAATATCCTTGCCAATTAATAAGTGACACATAATGCTTATTGCCATAAAAGTAAGTAAATAAATATAAACTGTGCTAACCTGTTTATTTGTGTCATTATATCTTCAGTTTCATTTCTCAAACTATCTTCCTCTTCTTGTCGTTTTTGTAAAAATGCATTCATTTCAGCTAGAACTAAAGCTTTAGTTTTTACCTGTAAATACGAACAAAAAAAAAAACTTAATACATTTACAAAACAGGCTTATCACATTGAATGTCATTTTTCTTATCTTCCCCTCAACTGAAGGTTGATTTTATTCCAATTTGAATTAGAAATTTGAAAACAGTGAGATAACAGTGTGGTATTGAGGAGGAAAAAGAAGGATTTATTGATCCTGTATTGAATACAGTGTATTTATAATTTCAACATAGTAGGATAAATAATGACATTGGGATCATGTTTTTCCACCAAGAACTGCCAAAATCCAACAACATCATAAACAAATTTCAAGATTAATTGTAGGGTAAGTGTTAAAAAGATTTGATACTCACCAGTTGTTCACTCTCTATTTTTTCCCGTCGATAATGACAAAGACGTTCCCAGATCTGGACTTCCAAGTTCTCTGGCATGTTAGATTGTCTGTCCAGTTCCTCTATAGCTTGTTCCATGGCTATTTTACTCTGAGCATTTTGACGTGCTGTAGATGGTCGTTCAGCGAATGGATTGGGAGCTGACGGATCTAAAACTGGTGTATCTGCTCCTTTAAACTTCTGACCTCTATAATATTTAAATTGACACAATTGTATTTATACTCTCACATCAAATAGTCTCACATATTGTTGTTTTGAAGAGGAAGGGGGGTGGGGGAGTGGTTTAAATTCATCAAATAGTCTCACATATTGTTGATGCTGTTAGACAAAGTTTTGAGAGGGTGGGGGGGTGGGGGGGAGGGAGGAGGGGGGAGTGGTTTAAATTCAATTGTTTTCAGACTCCCACATGAAATATGGGAACAAATTTGTTTTGCCCCTGTTAGTCAGTTTAATAAAGAAAGAGTTGTTTTGTTGAAGTAAAAGAACTATGTGATTGTATAATAGAAATTGGCAAGTTAAATCATCATGATTCATGTTAATGAAAGAATTATATAAATTCAACCTCCAGTTGTCTTGAATAAAGAGTTAACCTACCTAGGCCTCTTTTTAAATAATTTAAATAAAGTATCAGCCATTACAGCAGAAACATCGTTAAATTCTCTTCGGAAAGTTTTATCCATTAATTTATCTTCCGCCAACAATCGATCATAATCGTCGCGGAATTTCTCCAGGTTTTTCTTCGACTCATTCACAGCTTCTGTAGTCAATTGCTAAAATGGTTCCATTTTCAAATTTCAATAAAAAATCTAGTAATGGTTTTTTACTAATTTATCATTTCATCGAAACAACCTTACAGAAGATGGTTGGTTGGTAAATGACATCTGCTTCCTGTTAACACATGGCTGATATCACAGACTACCCCCTCATAAGACAATAACGCCCTCTTCCCTACTCATTCTTAGCATTATTGACCAGGGGAAACCATACTTGAATATCCATACTTTCTCAAATATTTATTTCATTTCTCCAAATACACTCTTCTTAAACTTTTGCCTCAAACTGGAACCTTAGCATCTAAAACTGTAGCTTACCTTCAAAACTCTCTTGTGTTCTAATTTAGCATTTAGTTCATGTTCTTGTATTTCTAATTCCTCTTCTAATAATAAATTATACCTCAACCTGTTGATCTTTAGATCTTCCTATAATTAATATAAAACATTCCCTTAACCCTTTTCACAGAGAAACACAGAGTCCTTGATTCAACAAATTTAAACAAAGATAAAACCAGATTTTAAAATATACGACAATTTGTTCATTATGATTGAAATTGTTTTCAAATATTGATTAAACACCAACAAAAACTGAGTCTTTGATAAGTATTAATTAAAACTAATAAAGTTATTGTCTATTTCATGCATTTCCAATGTAGTATTTAAAAAAGGTTTTGAGGTTTTGAGACAAAAATTCTTAGACCATTCTTCTTCAACCATGACAAATGATTCTCTATAAAAAATAATAAAGATTTCACTAGACTTAAAATCAACAATACTGATTATAATTTCTGTATATACCTGATATAAAACCATCATAACTTTCACTTTCTTCATAAACAATTGATTTAAAACTTCATCAAAACCAGTCATATTATCAGCTATCACCTGTTCTAATTTACGTAACTCTGTTTCTAATTGCTGAAAAATAAGATTTTACCAGTCGATTAAAACATAAATATAAAAAGCAAAAATTGTCTAAAATATTGCTTTCTCAGTTAGAGCCCCTAGAAAAATGGTTTGTACCCCCATTTGATTTTCAAAAATATAAAATGTGTTTTTTACTTGTTTTTGCACAGAAATACAGGTCAAAATGCACCAAGTGTATTCTATCATTAAAAAATTTTCTTTCGGGACACTAATCTTAATATTTTTTTTTATCTCAACCTTGACAATATTGTATCTCAATTAAAACAGTATGCTCCTGACCCTGTCATTGCAGTTTGGGTCTCTGTTTATTGTCTGGATGGTAACAGAAGACAACTGTAGAAAAATGAAATAAAACCTAACACCTGTCTTTAAATCAGAGAGTTTAGATTCCTACCTTTCTGTATTTTTCTCTTTCTTCCTTCAAATCCTGAACTTTCTTTTCATATTCTTTAGCTGATTTCACCTCCTCTTCTGTCCATTCTTCAGACTCTTTCGTTGTCATAAATAATGGTTTAGGGACATCCTGTAAAATATATATATATAAATTGAATAACCTTAGTTGTAGATTATATTCAAATAAAGAGTTGACCAATTTACCAAAAATAAATGCATTACAAACTCTCTGTGGATCCTCTGAAAGGGTGGACTCTCTGAAAGAGATTCCAAGTTAACAAACCCAAATATAAAATAAATGTTACTAGCTAAGTGAATGCTGTGAATCTGAAAGGGATGTTGACTAACATTAGCAATTTTTAAAAGTTAAATCTTGTTACTTCAATATAAACCTAGCAAAAATTTCAATCCCACCTTTTTGAGTTCATCTTCTTTTTTAATTTCCAGTACTCCTCCCATCATCATGTCTAACGCTCTCTCTCGGATATTATCTCCCTTTTCACGAAGTTTTCTTTCTTCTTCTGCTTTCTGTTTGGCTTCAGCTTGTTTCTTCTGTTCAGGAGTCAGGAACTTCTCCACTGTAACCTAAAATGCAAAAGAAAAAATGAAATGAATTTTTTAATAATCATAATAAATTTACAATTTAGAAATGTGGACTCCTAAAAGTGATGCTGAGATGGCGTACTCATATACCATGCAGAACCATCTCTGAAAGGGATATCCTGTTACAGAATTAAATTATCCAGGAAAGATCAATGTCAAAGGTTTGACCAGGGATCACCTGCTTTGCTAGTTGTTATTCTTGTAAAGTTATTGCCAGGAGTTTTGATCAAGGTCCAGCTGATAGACAGAATCCTTGAGAACTTAACTTATTATCCTTGTAAGTTAACTATGGACGATTATTTACAAAATTTCTGATTTACAAAATCAAATCATCGTACATGAAAAAAATTGGACTGAAAAAATGAAAACATTCAAAGCATACCTCGGAATCTTTGACTGTAAGAAGTAATTCTGGTTTTTCTAAAACACCCAGTTCAGGTTCGACTACTGTTTCCTTTAAATCTAAATCTTCTATAATTTTCTTTATTCTTTTATTTTTATCTTTTATTTTCTGAATTTCTTGTTCTTTTTTCTGGTAAACTTCATCAAATTCCTTGTTAAATGTTACTTTTATTCTGTACAGAGCATCCTACAATCAGAAAAAATACAGGTGTTAATAGTTATGTTGTTGGACAATAATATTTCCAGACACTTGAAGTTCTGAACTGCAATATGAAACCTGAAATCCCCAAAAAAGTTTGGCTATAAATTGGTAGCAGCTAATGAACTTTTCATAATGAAGTATATCAAATTGAAAAATGGTATCAGGTGTCTAGAAGAGTAAACATACCATGCCTTGCACCACACCTGCCTTTTCTGAAATTATTTTTAAAAAAGCATCATTTCAAGTAAAGCTTACAAATAATCTATATAATTTATAGTAGCTCACCTCCAATAGAACTATCTGTGAAATCTTCTGTTCACGACTGTGTAGATCAAACTGACTATAGAATAAATCACTACCTCCACCATACAGGGCACCCAGACTACCAGTTGTAGACGGTTGTTCTGTATTATTCTCCTCCAATTCTTCTCCTTCTAAAACCTCTTCATCCTACAGCAATAATAATAAAATATACCCAGGGGAATAGGTTGGGGGAGGGACGTTGATACAGATAGACCCCCTCAATTTCTAAATGTTTTTAAGGCAACCTCTTCCCAAAAACATGAATCAACTTTTCAACATTTTTGCCAGGCATACAAAAGCATTTCAGTTTCATGCAAGATAAGTTTCTGTGGTCACTGGTCAGAGAAACCTTCATTTCATTTCATTTCACATCTACCCAAGGATACAAAAGGGCTCATCCCATTTGAATAATTTGAAGAATGCATACAATAAAATAACAATGACCTAATTTCTGTACACTAAAAGCAGGAACACTGAAATACTAATAGATCTAAATCTAACTGATAAAATACTTTAATATTATAAACCCAACAGATGCCTAAAAGTATAACATTTAATATATAGAAACTGGAGTATTATTGTTAAACTCTGAAGCTATGACAATGTAGATGTTTATTATCATACAGGTGAGTAAAAAAGGCACTGAATATAAACCTTAACACATCATATACTGTAATACCTACAACATCATTTATGGTGCCGTGACATCATAGCCATTACCAGTTGCGTATGGTTGTGAATAATGAAAGTGGACAGAGTTTCGAACACAACTCACAACTCAGTTAAATGAGAATTCTTTTTTGCAACCATACGTCACGGTGATCACTCTGGTGTGAAGACACCTAGTGTTTAGTGAACATGCTTGACGGTAATTTTAATACTTCATAGTTCTCAATAATGAATTATGTTTAAAAAACAAAATAATAGGTCTACAAGCCTTAAAAATGAAAGGTAGAAAAATAAGCATTGTCAATGTAGGCAAATTAAGTCCTTTTTGTTACTTAGTTTTTGAAGTGTGTCCTACCCCTTATATAAGAATTGTACCCTGTCATGAAGTAAATATCAGTCCCTATCCTCCCCTGCAAACTTCTAGCTTTTCATCCATAACTTTGTCATATATGATAAAATATCACCTTCAGAAATTGAAATACGTCTTATATATTTCTCAAAAAAATTAAGATAAAAAACAAAGCTGACTAAAACAATAATGGTACAGGTACTTGTAAAAACAGCTGTTTGTCTATAATATTCTATAAGCTAGTGTCAAAATAAATAAAATATAAAGAATGGACAATATCAAAACTATTCTGTTGTTTACAATATCAATATCTAGGCCTGTTATCATCAGATGATTTTTTCTTCAAGAGTATTTACATTCTGCATTTCTTTTTTTTCACTTTTATGACAATACTTTCAAGTACAAATATTCAAATATCAAGGCTCAGACTTGAAAAAATCATCTGATTGAAAACAGGATTTTTAACTTACTGGAGATTTACTTTCGCTAAAAGCACTCTCAGAACCACTGGCTTGCTTTTAAATATTTAAAAATGACAGAATTTTACAGTCAGATAGTAAGAATAGAAAGATCAAATCAGTAGACTTCTGTCTCTTAAAGATATTATCAAAATTTATTGTCACAGTAAAATTTCTACATGGCAATATTTTAATCACAACATTGTTTATGAAATTGGCTTATGTACCAAAATATCTAAAGTGGAATGTAGAGTTAAGTTTAAGTATCAAAAACTCAAAATCAACACCAAGCAGTGTCGCCAGCTGGTAAATAGGATCCTCATGAACCTTAGTTGTTATCCTTGTAAAAGCATTATCGAGAGGTTTGGCCAACTACCAGCTGATAAACGGTATCCTTGTGAATCTTCTCACCTGCATTACTGACAAGGAGACAGCAGAATATGGAATATCATAAAATATAAAAATTTCTCACTGCCAGAGAAACAATAGGAATAGAAATGAAATGAATGGAGTTTTACTTCCTACTTTTCTGCACCATGTGGGCTAATGAAGACGGGCAACGTCATGCAGGGTGCAATGAGGAAAATTTTGCCAGGACAGTGGCATAAGCCTTCTCTTTTTTTTGATTTCCAAATGTAGAGGGATCTTTAATGTACACAGTCTGTATCAGGAATAGAAGACATAAGATATAAATCATTAACTTACTGCAGTAGATGTTGATTTTAAAGTTGGTTCTAAAACAGCTTTAGTTGCCTAAAATAGAAAATATTCGTTGTCTTGATGTAACAAATATTACTAAAAAGACTCATAAATACAACATATCACAATGTATTCATTGGTCAACATATCCCATTGTATTCATTGGTCAACATATCCCATTGTATTCATTGGTCAACATATCCCATTGTATTCATTGGTCAACATATCGCATTGTATTCATTGGTCAACATATCACAATGTATTCATTGGTCAACATATCACATTGTATTCATTGGTCAACATATCACAATGTATTCATTGGTCAACATATCGCATTGTATTCATTGGTCAACATATCCCATTGTATTCATTGGTCAACATATCATATTGTATTCATTGGTCAACATATCCCATTGTATTCATTGGTCAACATATCGCATTATATTCATTGGTCAACATATCACAATGTATTCATTGGTCAACATATCGCATTGTATTCATTGGTCAACATATCCCATTGTATTCATTGGTCAACATATCGCATTGTATTCATTGGTCAACATATCACAATGTATTCATTGGTCAACATATCCCATTGTATTCATTGGTCAACATATCACAATGTATTCATTGGTCAACATATCGCATTATATTCATTGGTCAACATATCACAATGTATTCATTGGTCAACATATCACATTGTATTCATTGGTCAACATATCACAATGTATTCATTGGTCAACATATCGCATTGTATTCATTGGTCAACATATCACATTGTATTCATTGGTCAACATATCCCATTGTATTCATTGGTCAACATATCGCATTGTATTCATTGGTCAACATATCACAATGTATTCATTGGTCAACATATCACATTGTATTCATTGGTCAACATATCACAATGTATTCCTTGGTCAACATATCACATTGCTTTAGTTCCCAGTCATGAGTCTAAAATACTTACCTCTGCAGCAGATATTTCCATCTGTCTCCTGGTCTGAACTGTTTCTAATAACTCCAGGCTTTCCTTACGTCTATCTTTCAGAGGAAAGTTAGCCACCTCCAGCGAGGAATTATACGCCTGCAAATAACATATACAATAATAATATATTTATAGATGGAAACTATCTTATACCATAATTGGTCTCATGGGTAACCCAGAATCACACTCCCTGTGCATCGAAGGAATTTAGGGAAATTTTGTAGCTTTTGTATGTGGATCATCCATAGTTATACGTCATATTTACAGAATTTTGATTTTCTAGTCTTTGTATGTGTATCAGGTACACTTATAGCTTCTATTTACACCATTCTGATTTTCTAGTCTTTATATGTGTATCAGGTACACTTATAGCTTCTATTAACACCATTCTGATTTTCTAGTCTTTGTATGTGTATCAGGTACACTTATAGCTTCTATTTACACCATTCTGATTTTCTAGTCTTTGTATGTGTATCAGGGACACTTATTGCTTCTATTTACACCATTCTGATTTTCTAGTCTTTGTATGTGTATCAGGGACACTTATAGCTTCTATTTACACCATTCTGATTTTCTAGTCTTTGTATGTGTATCAGGGACACTTATAGCTTCTATTTACACCATTCTGATTTTCTAGTCTTTGTATGTGTATCAGTGACACTTATAGCTTCTATTTACACCATTCTGATTTTCTAGTCTTTGTATGTGTATCAGTGACACTTATAACTTCTATTTACACCATTCTGATATTCTAGTCTTTGTATGTGTATTAGAGACACTTATAGCTTCTATTTACACCATTCTGATTTTCTAGTCTTTGTATGTGTATTAGAGACACTTATAGCTTCTATTTACACCATTCTGATTTTCTAGTCTTTGTATGTGTATCAGTGACACTTATAGCTTCTATTTACACCATTCTGATTTTCTAGTCTTTGTATGTGTATCAGTGACACTTATAGCTTCTATTTACACCATTCTGATTTTCTAGTCTTTGTATGTGTATCAGGGACACTTATAGCTTCTATTAAAACATAAAATATTGTTACCTGTATAGAGCGACCTTTAACCTTCATATCTTCCCAGCATTCCTTGTAAATCATTTCACGTAGATACATCTTCGCCAGATTCTCAAATTCTATTTCCTCACGCACCTATATCAAAAAAATACTTTCATTTGAAAAATATGACTAATTATCTAAATAGGACAAACCTAAAATAAAATCAGGTTCTAGATATATGAGAACATTCTTGTATATTCCTAATGGACAATGGCTCAACTTGCATCTTTCTGACATACAATCATCATCAGTACAGATGATTTTTAACTTTCCAATAGGATCTTTAAGTGTGTGGGAACGAAAGGGAATGAGCAAGAGTTAGAAATCAGTTGCAGATGTTTAGACACCACAAAACTTGGTATTTTGCGCCTATGAATGGCAAAAACTTCAATAAATATTCCTTCATTGTATGCAAGTCTCAAGAGGCCATGAAAATTCTCGAGATTTTTTTTAAGTGCATAATTTCATTGACATTGAAAAGGATAGATTGATCAATCAGATTACATGCAGATAACACCAAATCATCAGCCTGTCGAGATTATAACGTACCCTTTGAACTTCTGCCTCTCCCAGTGCCTGTAGTCGTGTCTGTTCATCAATATCAAGATCAAATTCATGTCTGTTTAGTTTCTCAATGTCTGGTTGTGATTCATTCAATAACATCATTTGTTGAATCTAAAAAAATACAAGGAAAGAGTGAAAAGATGAACAATACAAGCTAATAAAAATGAAGAATGCCAAGCAATGTGCATTAGGAAATATTTTATGAGCACCATTTTACCTTAAAAAGATATCCCTACCCTTACTTTGTGTGCACTTCTTTTGTTGAAGTGGTTTCATCTAGTATAATACAGAGAAAATAATTTATTCTTCACCAACTGCTGAAAGATCTTTAATGTGTAGTAACTTTAGAGCAAGAAACCTCTCCTATCACCGAATTATGACAACTACTCACTGATTTTCTGATGTCTCTAATCTGACATCGTAAATTATGTTTTTTATCTGCGTATTGTTTATCTTCTTCTAGTATAGCCTAAAATAGAAATATTTTGACTGCAAGTTTGGCTCGGAATACCCCTAAGGACCTAATAAGCATTTCCTTCAATGCTTAAATGATTACTGATTTTTACTATTGTTTATTTGGTTATGTTATCTTAAATAAATACTGAGATAAATCTTGTGACGATTTAGAAAAAATAAGGAATTGAACCAAACATAAAGTTCTGTGTTAAAAATATGTATTTCTTTTCAAAAAGAGTATGTCTATTTCAGTTAGTGTTTGGTAAGAAAGATTTGTTATTAGTATCAAGTAATTAATAATATTTTACCAGAATTTGGTTATCCTCTAGCCAAGTATTATCAATACGTTTTGTCGGAACTGGTGTCGTAAATATTTCTTCATTTTCTAAAGCTGCCTGTTTCTCTTGTTCTATCTTCTCCTGAAAATAACAATTCATATATTGATGAAAATACAAAATAAACATAGATATATTGACCTCTTTTAAGAGCCAATTAACCCAAATAATAATAAATATATTATAAAATATAGAATAAGTTGTAGATATATAATCATTCACATGCAATATAAAAGCAAGGCATGGCATGTAGATAATCAACTCAACACATAAATAGCAAACCAATCTGGACTAGCATGGTGGCTTTCTTACTGACTACCCCATAATACAACATCAGAGATAAAACCTACACAGCAGAAGCTTTAAGTAAATACTCACAAAATAACATACCCTTTCTTCTCTATCTAAAGTAGAGTTAGTTCTAGAGGCTGAGGCAGGATGGACCCATCCTGTCATGGCGGCCATTGCTGCATCTTCCTGTTGTTGGGGTCCCATCAATCTCATCTTTCTACTTCGAGCATTTTCTATCGCTGATTTTGCTTTCGTCATTCCAGTTGACGTGAAACTAGAAATTTCAAGTTGATAAATAAATTTAAAATATATATGAAAGAGAAAATATAGACCTATAGAAATTGTCATTCATGTAATGGTTAAGTTCTTCTTTACATCATGATATCAGTTGAATTCTTGACATAACAATTTAACCAATCGAAAACTTTGTTTTTAGGGGGCTGACAATTAATATCCAATGCTTAACAAATATCTAAAAATTTCTCACACAATCAGTAACCTCAATCTCTAATCAAACAGAGCATTTGATTGGCTGAATATTCTATGACCTAGAACATTTATTACATGATAATGTCATGAGATCATGGATGGCTAGTGGAGTCGTCCACAGAAAAAAAACACAAAAACGTCCTCTTAATCTGTTTTATTTTTATCAAGATATTTTGATATAAATTGAAATTAATATTCTATATGGACTTACTTCCAGAAAGAGGCTGTCAGGACGCCATCGAAACCGACAGTAAATAATTTCTGTCCGTCCTCAGAGAAACAGATTTCACGTACTCCATTATAATTATATTCATGTGGTGTTATATAAACTGTTTTATCCTGTAAAATAACATACACATAGTCAAGAGCAAGAGTTATTATGACAGCTGATAATGATATCTATTGTTAAATATTTCTAGAGATATGGGATCAATCAAGCTCCATCCTTGTTTTGCTCCTATTAGATAAGAAGACCTATAGTAGACCTTGTTGGTATATAATTTATGTTTTATTCTCTTGCCATTACATCTGATGACGACACGTGTATATTGTGTTGAAACGTTATGTGCCCAACCTTATTAAAGAAGTGTGTTATATTCCATAATATTGTCTTGTGTTTTTGTTATATGTGCTCCTCGATTCTATATGTCGTTCTAATCTTATATCTATAGAATCAACGAGTTTCACCAATTTCAGGAAAAAGTCATATTTGGCTGATATTTCACATCACTTGATATCTTGACAACAATTCTTGAAACAGAGAGATACAAATATAAAGATAACATACCATGGTTCCAATGGATCTGAAGATGACGTTCCCATCAGTGCTGTATGATGCCAACCATTTCCCATGTGGTGAGAGAACCAGATGTCCTCCAGGAAGCTGATGTCCTGGCACATCACTAGCTGGTACTAAATACGATTCAGGACTTGTCAACTGAAAACAAAGATTAATGACATTTTTTTAATGGTATTCTTTTTTAATTTTCAGTTCATGTTTAAAAAAAGAATGAGTTATCCCCAGACATCTGAGTTTGTATTCTTGTACAAAACTGATTGTGTTTTTGTAGTGTTTTCAAGTAAAAACAAGACTGGTATGTAAAAAAACTAACCTTTTTGGGTTTGACATCAGGTAAAGCCATGGAGATGATTTTTTTAGAGTTTTGTGAGATGGTGTAGAGAGTGTTATTTTCACCAATAGAAGCTCCGTATGAAGGTATGGTGAGATGGAGGTTCATCTTCTTGATAGCCTCATCTTTAAATCTTCCCTTTAAACTTTCATGTTTGTCTTTTATATCTTCAATAAAATAAATAGAAATATAATAATAATACAAGTAATATATCTGGAGGGGCAATTTTGTGTTTAGTTGCAGTTTTGATTTGATATAGGTCAGCCACGTTTTCTGGAGGGCAATCAATAATTTTGGGGGAGCTATGACCCCCTCCACCCTCCCTGTAGCTATGGGCCTGGAATATACTACTCCTTTCTTTAATTTTAGATAAATAGGGTGCAAAAATTAAAGGAAGGAGCCGTGTATCCATTGTAGTGCTTCATTTCCTATTGAGATAATATGTTCGTAAGATTCACTGAAAATCATGGCTTAGAGAAATAGGCGTACCTGTAGTAATATCAGCAGGAATGGTAAAATATATTAGTTTATTGGCACCAGATCGTTTATCAGTATGGGTACTGGTTGTCACGACAACTTTTACATCTTTATTACTGTTTATACACGTCATAGCTATAATATCTCCTTCAAATTCTACAATATATAAATACAGTCATAGCTATAATATCTCCTTCAAATTCTACAATATATAAATACAGTCATAGCTATAATATCTCCTTCAAATTCTACAATATATAAATACAGTCATAGCTATAATATCTCCTTCAAATTCTACAATATATAAATACAGTCATAGCTATAATATCTCCTTCAAATTCTACAATATATAAATACAGTCATAGCTATAATATCTCCTTCAAATTCTACAATATATAAATACAGTCATAGCTATAATATCTCCTCCAAATTCTACAATATATAAATACAGTCATAGCTATAATATCTCCTTCAAATTCTACAATATATAAATACAGTCATAGCTATAATATCTCCTTCAAATTCTACAATATATAAATACAGTCATAGCTATAATATCTCCTTCAAATTCTACAATATATAAATACAGTCATAGCTATAATATCTCCTTCAAATTCTACAATATATAAATACAGTCATAGCTATAATATCTCCTTCAAATTCTACAATATATAAATACAGTCATACCTATAATATCTCCTTCAAATTCTACAATATATAAATACAGTCATAGCTATAATATCTCCTTCAAATTCTACAATATATAAATACAGTCATAGCTATAATATCTCCTTCAAATTCTACAATATATAAATACAGTCATACCTATAATATCTCCTTCAAATTCTACAATATATAAATACAGTCATAGCTATAATATCTCCTTCAAATTCTACAATATATAAATACAGTCATAGCTATCATATCTCCTTCAAATTCTACAATATATAAATACAGTCATAGCAATAATATCTCCTTCAAATTCTACAATATATAAATACAGTCATAGCTATAATATCTCCTTCAAATTCAATAAATATATAAATACAGTCATAGCTATAATATCTCCTTCAAATTCTACAATATATAAATACAGTCATAGCTATAATATCTCCTTCAAATTCTACAATATATAAATACAGTCATAGCTATAATATCTCCTTCAAATTCTACAATATATAAATACAGTCATAGCTATAATATCTCCTTCAAATTCAATAAATATATAAATACAGTCATAGCTATAATATCTCCTTCAAATTCTACAATGTATAAATACAGTCATAGCTATAATATCTCCTTCAAATTCTACAATATATAAATACAGTCATAGCTATAATATCTCCTTCAAATTCTACAATGTATAAATACAGTCATAGCTATAATATCTCCTTCAAATTCTACAATATATAAATACAGTCATAGCTATAATATCTCCTTCAAATTCTACAATATATAAATACAGTCATAGCTATAATATCTCCTTCAAATTCTACAATATATAAATACAGTCATACCTATAATATCTCCTTCAAATTCTACAATATATAAATACAGTCATAGCTATAATATCTCCTTCAAATTCTACAATGTATAAATACAGTCATAGCTATAATATCTCCTTCAAATTCTACAATATATAAATACAGTCATAGCTATAATATCTCCTTCAAATTCTACAATATATAAATACAGTCATAGCTATAATATCTCCTTCAAATTCTACAATATATAAATACAGTCATAGCAATAATATCTCCTTCAAATTCTACAATATATAAATACAGTCATAGCTACAATATCTCCTTCAAATTCTACAATATATATACAAACATCTTGTCATTGATCTTTGCAATTGATTTTACAAAAATTCCAGTTAGATTCTTTAAAAAGCTGAGTTATTATTGTCCTTAATAGATTTGAGAAATTCTCCCTTTCTTTCCTAGTGCTGTACTACTGTATGTATCATTCCATCTTTACATTATATGCTGTTAGAAAATCAATTCGTTTACATGAAAGAAATATTGTCAAATTTTGAAATGAAAACTTAATAAATTCTCACCAGTATATCCTAATACATCAAACCTAGTAGAGGGTCTACCATCTATAATATAAACATGTTGATCATTACCAGCTACTAATAAATAGTCTCCATCAGATGAAAACCTGAAAATATTACCAAATTTAATATTCTATAGTTTTACACCTTACTGGGCTGGGGGAATGGAGTTTTACACTACATTTAAGATTTACTATGTTTCTTGTTCCAGACCAGAAATACTGATCTACACCTCTGATTTTATTTGGGTTTATGAAATAAACAATTATTTAAATAATAAGAATCTAACATTCTGCTGTTCACAGCTCTTTGGGTTGAAGACAAGAAATGAAGTTTAAATAACAACAAACAGGGCTCCATATGCTAATCTAACCAGCCCAATAGCTGATGATATGAAATGAGGTTTTTACAAGATACTTCAATAAACTTACTGTAAATGTGTGATAGGAACTCGAGCCATTCTGATTCTATCTACTATACGAGGAGACTGGAAGTTAGTGTAGTCTATAAAGTAGACAAATCCAGTCTGTGTTCCTACTGCTACCAGATGAGTCATTGGACTACATGATAAACTAACAGTCTGAAATAAAGAGTATGTATTTAATGTTATTTAATGAGTATGTAGATCAGACAACAGAAAGTCTAATGTAAGTTTTTTGTTCAAGAACCATACATCTGATTAAATAAAGGAACACAATTTTATGGTATACTACTCCTTAGTTTTATTACACACTACGTTTCATCACTCCACATTGTCATCATCATCAGACTACTCCTTAGTTTTATTATACACTATGTTTCATAAGCTGTTATATCAAACAACAATGAAATAGATCTGGTCATCAAAAGCCTTTATAAATGAATTTTATGTCCAACTTTCTATTCCAGTTTGGGTTAATGAAGATGGACAACAGCATGCAGTGTGCAATGTGGGCATTTTGCAAAAATAGTGAGAGCGTGAACTTGTAGCGTCTTGGTTCATTGTCTCATTGAATGACCAATGGATAAAAAACGAGCGTGATAGCTAGAATTTAGCTCTATCAGCTGGTGAAGCAAACTAATATTCTGCGTTCCATTAAATGGGAATATTTACCGTAGTTTCCAGAGACAGAGTTGATAATAACATTCCTCTATCATACGACCATGCCTGTATTTCACCATCTTCTCTCACACTCTGAAATATATAGTAGTTAATAACATCATTCATCTTTTATAATAATAAATATCTTCACTGTTAATAATAGTGCTCAATACACTAGTATAGCAACAACCACTAGGTCTAACAATTGTAGTCTAACTAATGGAATGTTTAACTATTGGAATGTCTAACTAATGGAATGTCTAGCTTTTGGAATGTCTAACTAATGGGAGAACACCCATGAAAACATCAGACTATTTTGTTTCTGTGTGGTTAAAACCATGCCCCCTTAGCAATAAAAAGATGGAACCGTGGTTCACTTTATCTAAAAATCCTCTTGAAGGAATCTCAATTCTTGCAATTTCTTTCCCCTGACCATTCCACAAATTCTTTGAATAAGATTTAATAGGTTAATAACTTTCCCCCCTTTCCTACACCCAACAAAACTATAAGTATACTTACAATCAGAATATCTGAGGGTGTGGCTAAACACCCGATTCCCACAAACTGACCAAAGTGACTTGATTTTAATCTATTGGCACAAGTAGATTCATCAGGCGTATACAAGAATAACGAGCCCTGAAAAATACAAAAATGGGGTTGGTCATTCTTACTGTGTCTTAGTGGAAAAACATGATGGTTTATTTTTTCCGACAATTGTTTTGAAATTTATGAATGGAGCTTTATTGGACATGATATGAAGTTTCACATCAAATTGTTCTGAACCTTAGTCGAGATGAATTAGTTGTACAGTTCTGTTTCTTTTTGGGATAAAATATTGAAATGGCTTACTACAGCCTTTTTTTCTCCTGTTAGCTTATGAGGTATTGACAACAAATGCACATATAACTATATTTTTGAAGACTTTGCCTAGCGAACAAAACACAAGGTGTCTGATGTGACTATTTTATAAAATCAGTAATCAAATTTCAATCTTTACCTGACTAGAGCCGAGCACTATATTTTTATAAGATGGATTAAAACTCATACTGGTAACTGGTTCACCGATAACACAATGTTCTAAGATACGGAATTCATTTCCTTTAATATCAATCAATCTCAGTACTCCATCCTGTAACAACAGAACATATTATACAAACTTTATTTTGAGTAATTTAACACTAGACACCACTCTTCCTGCCATATGACAAGCTTTCATTTCTAGATGATGTTGTGTAAATATTACACCTTTCGGCTTCTGGTTGATAAATCCTAATATCAACTGTAACCAAATATCATGAATTGTTTATGAGTGCTTACCTCGCCTGCAGCGTATAGACCTTTTCTATGTAAGCCTAGTGTAGTTAAACAGCCTTGTAATAATAGATTGTCATCCTCTTCAGCTGAAAGACAGACAGTAGCAGATTAAATACAGGAATCAGGTCAAACAAATAATGTTAAGTAAAGAATAATTGACAGAGAAATTATTTCCAATTGACGAGGGATCTCAAATTTGCATAGCCTGCAGCACATAGGCCTCAATTTATAGTCTTATTTAGATGCTTTTTCATGTCAGCCCCTCCAGCTGCATACCCGACAGTTAGAAAGGGGTTTGAACATCTGTAGGTATTATCTGGATTATTTTGGGATAGAATCCCTGATGTGATTTGATATAAATGATTATAAATCCTTTCAACCCTCGACAGGTTCACCTGCCACAAACTAATGCAATATATACCCGAATGATGTCATTTTACTTTTATTACTTGGAGTTTATCGTACCTATTGGTTGTATATCTGTTAAAGTTGTTTTTCTACTACCAGGTTCTACGGCACTAGATGCTCGGGTATGAGCTGTTTCTGGTCGTTTTGGTGGATAATACATAACTCTAGCTTTAAATACTTCATCATTTACCTAAACATAGAGTGAACAATCTATATAAATATATCTCTAACTACCAATTAAGATTTGAGTTCAATTCTTCTAGTAAGTCATCAGTGGACATGGGTAATATATATATGTTTTGAACCCTTTCAAGAATATGGTATAAATATTGTTTTGTATTACATGTAAATCGAAATTCTTTGGATTAATCTAATTGTTATTATGATAAACATTGCTTGTTAATCCGTTAACATCCAGCACAGTACTAAAGTGTTTACTTACTTTCAATAGTTGTCCCCCTTGACAGCCGATAAAAACATCACCTGTTGGTGTCCAGGCTTGTGAAACAGGTGAACATCGTTCTAGTTTATCTTGTATAGTTTGTAAATATTCTGTATTATCTCCTATCAGACCAGCAATGGCCGCTTTCGGTACGTCGACTGTATATCGACTCATTCTAGTGGAGGCCCGAGTTGGTGATCTATCTTGATCCTTTTCATCATCAATTTCTTGTGAGGGGTCAGCCACCGGTACTCGCACTTTACTATAATATAAAGGAATTTTATATACAACAAGTTCTAATTAAATAGAATGAATATAGACTACCAGTACCAAATAAACATCATAAGTCATGTGGACTATTAAAAAGATATGGAAACTTGATTAATCAAGTCGCATAAACAGAAACCAAACCAAATCTTGCCTCAAAAAAGAAATGTGACTAAATTAAACTTCTAGATATTATTTTAGAGAACTGACTTACTGTGGTAAGATGACATATTGATCATTACATTGTTCAGTCTGCCAGATTGTAATGGAGTCGACTGTAGTTAGACAGAGTTGACGCCAGTTACACGGATCAAATCCTAAACTGGTTGGAACTTCTGATCCAATATGAACTGTGGCTAGTTTGATTCCTTTCTCATAATTCCTGAAATTAATATCAGGCATTTCATTGGAACAGGACTTTCTCAAAGGTTTACTACAGGACTTTCTCAAAGGTTTGGAACAGGACTTTCTCAAAGGTTTGGAACAGGACTTTCTCAAAGGTTTAGAACAGGACTTTCTCAATAGTTTAGAACAGGACTTTCTCAAAGGTTTAGAACAGGACTTTCTCAAAGGTTTAGAACAGGACTTTCTCAAAGGTTTAGAACAGGACTTTCTCAAAGGTTTGGAACAGGACTTTCTCAAAGGTTTAGAACAGAATATTCTCAAAGGTTTAGAACAGGACATTCTCAAAGGTTTAGAACAGGACATTCTCAAAGGTTTAGAACAGGACTTTCTCACAGGTTTAGAACAGGACTTTCTCAAAGGTTTAAAACAGAACTTTCTCAAAGGTTTGGAACTGGACTTTCTCAAAGTTTTGGAACAGGACTTTCTCAAAGGTTTGGAACAGGACTTTCTCAAAGGTTTATAACAGGACTTTCTCAAAGGTTTATAACAGGACTTTCTCAAAGGTTTAGAACAGGACTTTCTCAAAGGTTTAGAACAGGACTTTCTCAAAGTTTAGAACAGGACTTTCTCAAAGGTTTGGAACAGGATTTTCTAAAAGGTTTGGAACAAGACTTTCTCAAAGGTTTGGAACAGGACTTTCTCAAAGGTTTGGAACAGGACTTTCTCAAAGGTTTGGAACAGGACTTTCTCAAAGGTTTACTACAGGACTTTCTCAAAGGTTTGGAACAGGACTTTCTCAAAGGTTTGGAACAGGAGTTTCTCAAAGGTTTGGAACAGGACTTTCTCAAAGGTTTACTACAGGACTTTCTCAAAGGTTTACTACAGGACTTTCTCAAAGGTTTACTACAGGACTTTCTCAAAGCAGGTAATTTTTGAAATTTTTGTGGAAAAAATAAGGTACTTTGTAGTCTAGCAAAAAATAAGGGAGATAATTTTCAATAACAAGTTTAAAATTTTGATCTTCTTAAGATAATTTGATAAATATTAAATTAATAATAACAAAATATACATAAAATATTTAATTTACAAAATATTAGACTATTTCAATGAGCTATTGTGGTAAAAACTCTTAAATTTCAATTGAAATGATGTGTCAAGGGAGATAACTACAATAAAAAATAATTTTGTGTCTTAATATAGTGATTAGAGATATGGCAAGCAAATTGCAATGAAGAAATAGCTAGGAAGACAACAGTGTAGATAATCTTGCCTATTCTCTACCGAGTGTTCGAATAGGTGATTGTATGTAGGACATGGGGCTTGTTGAAATTAAAGAGTTGCAGAATTATGCCTACCATAAAATAAGTTCGAAATCTGGTAGTCCAGAAATAGCTGCTAAATATTCACTGTTAGAGAATGTCAATTTCTGATATTCTAACTTGGCGCCATCTGAAATAACAAAATTATAAAAAATAACTTAAACATAGTAGGTGGGTATGTCTATGTTTCAACTAAGCTTATAATACAAAAATTCAATAGATACTAATCAACATATTTCAGTTTTCAGAAAAATGTAAATCTTACTCAATAAAAAAATTATAAGATTTAGAAGTACAGTACAGTAGTAAGAGTAACCATATGTTTGAAACATACATTCTAAACAATTTATTCCTGATACTGGTGCCTTGTCTATAAATAGAATTCAATAAAAAAACCAAACAGTTTAGGCCAATGTAAGAATTCAGAAACAATGGTTTGAAGCCTTCACATACCAAAAAATAACATGAATAATGTAAAATCTTTTCCTGCATCAAAATTTAAATGTCAAAGCCTAGAAAAAACTTGGTAGTGCTTTTCATGAGTTCTAAATTTATTTCAAAATCTGTTTCTTTAAAATAACAGTAAAAACACAGAAGAATATATTATAACTAACCTTGTAAGACCATATGTTCTCTAAATGTAGGGTAGGTATAAATATAGATTTTAGGATTTATACAATATTCAGCTATTGCTATGTGTTTGTTTAATTTATGAACAGCTATGGGTCCTACACCTTGTCCTTTAAAAGCGAACACTGTTTCCACTCCATCTTCAGCTATTATTTTAATATTCCGACCACATTGATAACATAGAACATCACCGTCGATATACTGAGCTTCTCCACCATTGTACCCTTGACACCACCTAAAATATAAATAAATTACCTAACTTACTGGTACAACCTTAGCTATGGCTAGACTGAAATATCAACATTTTTAGAACAATTTTTGATGTACCGTACAATAGATCTAATCTTGAAAATGCCAAGTAACCGGTAGACCAAAACATTTTCCTCTATTCCAGCCTCTGATAAATTGAAAGATTTTTTTATTAGCATCACGGGGGTCACAGATTCACGTGATACTAACAATACGAAAGTTACGGTGAGTTACAGTAATCTAATATTATGTTACGTTAGTAAAAATGCATCTTTGGAGGTGTGGGTAAATCATCATAACATAGGGCCTAGTTTTTCTGACTCTACTCCAACTGATAACTGTCAAAATATCACTGTCTGATTTTCAGAGGCTGGAATATTGGCACTCGGCAGACGTTTCGGACTAGGCCTAGTCTAAAGCTAAGTAAATCTTAACAAAGTTGCAGATTGTTTGCATAACCCCAAGGTAGCATAGATCTATTTTGGTTATGGTAGGAATTTGTTGTTTTTTCAACAAACATAACTCTATAGTACTAGTACTCAGTAAAAGGGAAACCTGTCCTGTCCTGAGGCTGAATATGCAATCTTCTAAGTGGTTTGTTATTTTCTAATGAAAGGGTAGAGGCATAGCGATAACGGAATATATTCCTCAAAATTGTAATAATGTGTACAGTTTATTTAGTTATCAAATTAGATCTAGTTCGATTTCTTCAGTTCAGTGATTATTTCGAATTGAATCTAAATGTAATGTCAGAATATCACCTGATTGACAATGAAAATGTTAGAATTAAAATAAAAATCTACAAGAAAATTGACTCACGCAAGGTCCAAATTTCCAACGTTGTCCATTTTTGTGTAGATCTCAAATGAAGATAGTGATTACAATTTTTTTGCCAGACACGGCGGCCATATTGTAATTAAACGGTTGTCAAGGTGGAGATAACGGGAAATCTCATAATATCCCGTGCTGACCTTCGTTTCTAGGGGGTCAAGGATACACAGAATAACGGAATAATTTCGTACAAGCCGATAAATATTTCAAGTTGCAAATTAAATTACTCTAACGTTGCATCATCTAGTTTCAAAGAAACTTCAATGCCATTGACGTAAATTAGTCAAAAATCAATAAACATATATGTCTAAGAAATTACACTCAAGTAAATTGACCTAATGAAAATATACTTATCGGTTAGGAAGCCTGAAGGTTATCGATTGTGACCATGTGCAACAATCGGATCATTTCGTAGTGACGATCTCTGTGTCTTTTTGAAGGATTTTTGTAAATTTTGGTGGATAAGTGTGTTGCAGTTGAAAGCCAAAATGTTTCAAAGAGTGACTAGAGTTCAACCCCAGTTATTCACAAACGGATTTGTTTCCAAAACGTTTTTATCGTCTGAAATCGGAACTGTCATTAGTCCAAAGTTCAAATATGTTGGAGAAACCAGGAATTTTTCTACTCGTCGAATCAATGAATTTTCAACAAAATTCAGAAACAATCTATTTCAGCTATGTAATGTGTTTAACAGACAATGCCAAGTGCTGGTGGCTCATAGAATAAAGAGATTGCATGAAACTGTGCAGTTTTATAGAAATTTGTATAAAAATCAGCTGTTTTCTAGATTGATTCAGAAAGGTGTATGTGCTGGAAGTGGAAAAAATCGAGGAGCTATATATTTATTGGGGGCCAGTATGTTTTCCTGGCAGAAAGACAATATTACTAATGAGGATTTTGACAGGTGTGTAATCAAGTCAAGAAGTCCAGGATTTTCAGTTCAGCTTAAATGAAGTACCACAGGCTGAGACGGATGAGTTTCAGGGCCTCCTAGTAGGGAACTCATGTACTAAATTGATGGGGGTTCTTCTTCATTATATCTGTCTCATATTAACATAAAACCTACATTGTCTATGATGACATTGATTTTTAATTATCTCATATTTTTAGGTGTATAGATGAGATGGAAGAAGTTTCGAAGTTTGTGAATCAAGCAAATAGTTCGAAAGATAAAAATAAAAATTTACCTGGTGGCTGGGAATCAGTCATTGATAAAAAACATTTAAAAGTTTGGAGGAAACCTATTGAAGAAAATAGTCATTTATATGAATATAGAGGTACTTTTGAAACATATTGAAAATCTATAATTTAAGATTTGTTAAAGGGATTATAAAGAAGTGTTCTAAATTTTTTCAATTTGCACCATTTCAATTTTCATTCAGATGTCTGTGGTTCTTGCAGTTCCACTAATGCGCACCAGAGGGAACTACCAGAAGCTACTATTGATATCTATATCTATATCTCTAATTGCAAGAACCACAGACAGCGACGTTGGAATGAAAATTGGAATGGTGCAAATTGTTAGGGTAATGTACTAAAATCTCAATTTCAAATATCTATATGTTATCTCATTTTGGCACGAAAATCAAACATTGACAACTTACCCTTTGTAGAAAATTGATTGGTGATTAGAATACACAAGCTTACTCAATGACCAGGAGGTCAACTCTTATCAAATATAGGTCAACTGATAACTGCACTTCATCTTTGATATGAGTATAGTATCTACAGATGAATTGACATGGTCTAGTCTTTAGGATGGGGCAAGCAACCAAATCCTCAATATTGAAAAAAGCCTTTTTGAAAAATTGTTATATCTATCATTGCAAGGAAAGTGTCCCTGATTGTACACTGCATAGATTATATATACTGAATATCAGTTATGTTTATTATCTGTTATAGTGTATGGTACGTATGATGATGTTCCAGCTCGAGCTTTCTTTAATGTTCAGGTACGGTAAAATCATTAATACAATTCTCATTGGTAATTTGGGTCTCTTGACTCTGGACATCGCATCAGGCAATATGCTCCATCTCTTCTCACCTTGGTAGTATTTTGATTAAAGTTTGTTCATTGAAGAGTTCAATAATGGTGTAAGGGATAAAGGGCTGTTCACCATTCTTGATTGTTTTGTTATTATGGCATTCCTTCAAATGAATTTGCATACTGCATAGCCTAACAGCCTAAAAGACATTTTGGTTTTGGTTTTCTAATTGTAGTGATTAACTAACTGACCTGATTTATTTACAAACTTAGATTTGTATGATTTCTACTCGCAATCAAAGCTGCTGGTGGGCGTATTTCACCTTGCCTAGCTTTCTAATTTAAGCTTTGCAAGTCTATCTTTTTGTCTGATTTAAGTGACTAACTTACCTGTTTTATTTCTTACCAAGTCATAAAATATTTTCAAAATTTCAGGTGGATCTAGATTTCTGGCAGGAATGGGAGAATATGGCGCTCAGTATTGATATTATAGATAAACATAAAGAAACAGGCTCAGAGATAGTACACTGGTTAACCAAATACCCGGTAAGTATTTCCCTCATTGTCCACTGATGGAAAATATTTTTGGACGAAGTTTTGACCATTCTGAGTGGGAAGTGTTCCTGTATAAAATAAATAAGTTTACATCTTAATAATGATAATGTAAAATATGTAAAGAGCTTTATTTATGATATTTTATTTTAGACATAGACTAAGCCTGTAATTATTCAATTTTATATAGAAATAATGGGTTGAAAACCCACACAGAATAACTATTGAAAACAATGACCGTAGCACAGATTATTTCTAACTTTGAGAAGGTTTCAAACCCACAGCACCTAATCACTAGAAGGCATGACAAATTTAATTTAGGGACAAGATGTTACTATTTTTATTTCTAGCTATAATTATTAGATTACTATATTTTATATTTATAGTATCCGATGTATAACAGAGAGTATCTTTATGTTAGGAGATATAAGGTAAGAAATAAAACTGAGATATTCTCGCTGTAACAAGGGTACCGTATATTTCCGAATATAATGCGCACCCCTTCCTTTTCCCATTAAAATCGGGATTACCCGTGTATATTTGACGGTAGTCAAGTTTTCAACACTAAAACTCTTTCACTAACAAGCGTTAGACTTTTTTTGGACTCTGTATCTCTTTTAGAGAGTTCACAAAGCCAATGTTTGTTTATTGGGTATTAGTTTGTCAACTTTGCAAATCTTTCATCCTTTCCGATTCAAATTTTAGATTTGTACATGTAGACAATTGATTCTTCTTTGATTGCAGACAAACCATACCCCATAATTTACTCTGAAAAATCCTACACATAACTGAAATTGTGCTCAACTAGGATGTGAAAAATTAGACAATTCTATATATCTCATTAATGTTGTTTATTTTAACAGGAAGATACCAAGAGAAATGTATTAGTAGTAAACGCGAAGGCTATAGAACATCAAGATATTCCAATCACCAAGGAATATGTCCGAGTTAAACAATATCTATCTCAAATGGTTATAAAACCTCATTCTTCTTGTGATGAGGTAAGAAATACGCATTTTATACATTGTGTTAATTTACCATGTTATATTTGTGCTCTGTGACATTTTTACCCTAGAAGAGCTGGCCAAGCTGGGGGTTGTGCATTATAGACAGTGCCAAAAACTTGTGACTTTTTAATATAGACCCAATATTACGAGAATTAACAAATTTCATAAAAATATAAATTAATTCCAAAATGACCGAAAAAACACGTTTAAAACAGAAAACTTCATTAAAGAAATATTGTTTATAGTAACAAAAGGTAACATGCAAATTAATTTTTACTTTTGAAATATTTTTTCTCCACGGAACTTATGCTGTCAGTTTATTTCTTTCAGAATGGTTTTGATTATATTTTAACTTATTTTGATGATCCTCAGTCAGCCTTTCCTTCATTCTGCTACAACTGGTTGGCTTCATCAGGTATCCTCTACTTTTACTTTCTAAATCTATTAGCGCTGTGGGTTCAAATCTGTATTAATTTTATCCTGTCATTTGTATTAGTCATAATTAAGCATCCAATCTTGTTCAGCGAGTTGTTTCACTCTTAAACCTGGAGTCTTATGTTCTTGTCAAATATGAATATCTGCAATGTTACAAGATAGAAGATGAGGTCCATTATCAGTTATTTTTGTCACTGTTATGAGATAAAACGTTAATTTTTATCCGTAATTATCATAATCTTATATTTCAGGTGTACCTGATTTTGTCGAGAGGCTTCATAAATCTGCGATAAACATGAACAAGAAAATGAAAACAGGATATCGGCCCAGTTATATACCTTGTCGAAACAATATTAATAACAATAACAATTACTCAGCCTCGGATAACAATCGAAAGGATAACAAATCTTCAACAACATCAGAAGGAAATAATAACAATAACGCTTCAATTCATAACAATCAAAGAACAAGTGGAACATCTTTGTCTCAATACGCTTAAATATCTCATGTTGGATAGAATTTTATATAATGTCTAGGGGCATTATTTTCTGGAAACTCTATAGAAACACTTTAGACCATTCTGAGATTGTGGGAATCAACTGATCACATCTCTTTGAATGTAGATGTGCCAATTTGTATGCATTTAACCTGTTTAATGGCATAAATTCAAGAAATAAAATGGCTGTGCATGCATAAAAAAATTGAATTTTTGTTGTTGAAAACTTTGTTCTATAAATCTGATTACTGATTGCTAGACTGCTGTTGGGAATTGCTGATTTATTTATACCAAAAAGTCAAGAAACTAATAAGCATTCTAAAAAAAAAAATATGTCAATATTGTGGAAGCTGTTAGTGATATCTAAGGGCCCTTGCGATAGCAACATCATAAAGCGCTTAGTTTGAGTTGAATGGCAGGAACCTCCAATAACTAGCTGAAAATTGGCCAATTTGATGATATCAGTGTCCCTGATATACATAACAAGTTTTAAAAACCTCTTTACTATCTATTTAAACAGTAAGAAAAACATTATTTTGTTAAATTATTTATTATGAACTTCAGGAAGGTGAAAATTATACAAAGTTATGAACAATGTGCGAACCAGAATAAGTTTTATTATTCAAAGTTATGATATTACACTTCCAGTACTGAACAGATATTAGTATTTGCTACAATATTAATGACAGAGAATGTATTTTAAGGTCTGTTTGTTAATGATTTTTCTGGTCATCCAGTTGTTAAATATAACAGTAGTTATTATGTGTGTCTGAATAAAATGATATTACCAGTACTATAAACAGGAGTGAATTTAATCATTGTTGTCTGGCAAATTAAGCCAAATCAACGACCCTCTTGCCCATACAAATATCAGTTTACAGTTTCTATCAACAACACTCTTGCTATCTACTTTTATTCCAGAACTAATACATCGTGTGTCTCAATAAAAACGTACCAAAGTTCGACGGGTAGTATCTCAGCTGGGGGTAAACTGATCTCTTTCAAAATTCTCACAGATATACTTCAAGATATCGTTGTCCAACTTGTATTTTTTGAGACACCCAATATAGTTAGTCATTGCACACTGCATGGGGTGGTCTGACCTGTGTTTCATGGTTATATTATTGAGAGGTACTTTTATAACAGAAGGTGTATACCCTGTTTGCCAATGTGTCTGTTTAATATGGCTGATGGGTTTATTTATATAGTGCTTTCTTGGCAATGATGATGCTTAATCTTACATGATTGTGTTGCAATGGCGTTTCTATAAATCCTTTGGTGAGGAGCCCAAGTATAGCTACAGTATTATCAAGGGTAATAATTCTTTTCCAATGTAAAAATGATGTGATTAATTAATAGTGAAGGGGGTCTCTACAAAAACCCTTGTCATTAAATGCCATGGTTGACTATTTTTAGGGGTAGGTTTGGGTCTTCAGAAGAACTACAACTGCACAAAGATTGAATAATCACTTCAAATATAAAAACTTATTTTAATTCTATTTTTATATTCAAGTTAACTGAAAAAACTGATATAAATGTAGGTAAAAAAATGTTTGAATAAAATATTTCCAACATTTTACAACACAAATAATATTAGAATCTAATGAAGAACAATTATCACAGGAAATTTCAATCACATTTCTACTTTAAAGGTTAGTAATTTATATATAAAAAAAACATTAACCCATTCAACACTAGCAGTGGCTCTAACAGCTACATAATTATATGGCCTTTAACCCTTCCAACAGTAGCGGTGGTTTTACCAGCTAAATATTCATGAGAATAAGTTCTACTTGTCCAAATAGTCCAGTAGGGACGCAGGCTGAAATAGGTCAGGCTGAAGATCGTATAGAGTGAAACTCTGAATAACAACATGTTTTTTTGGGTTTTTGTTTTAATATTTACAAGTTATATACCCAGGCTGAGGGAGCCATTGTTACCAAGTGACATGACATAATGTTAATATAATACACTTGAAGTCTTATAACTTGCAGTTCAGGGTATATCATGTTTTTTTTTTCATCACACTCAGTGTTCAAAGGGTTAAAGAAGAATGATATAAATAAAAATAAAGTTACATTCATTTCACTGAAATAGCTTATATAATATAAGTTTCTTTGACTAAATCACATTTTAAAAATATAAAGAGTACCAGTATTTCTGACAACTGTCTAAAAGATTTGTTAAATGTATGAAAAAGGTAGGGGGTTTATTAATGTAAATGCTATTGTTAATAATAACAAATAATGATGCAACTACAACAATGGCAGGTGAACTACAAACAATAGTTATCAGAAAGCCACTGTTCTGTTTTCGAAAACTTGTGTTTTTTTAAAATTCTGTTTAACTCGTTTGACTGGCACCAATCAATCCATTACTGGTATTGAAGAGGTTGATGGGATTGTTGCCATCGGTTACCAACATACTCTCTAAACCAACACTCTGTAGCAGTTTAATCTGAAATAAAATCAAAACATCATCAGTTAACATCAGATTAAACTGAAGCAGCTGAAGGATTTCATAATATACGTGAAATCATAAAATAAAAGGGATTGGTGTAGCCAAAATATATGAAAGTAGAATGCATGTTTGTAGGGATATGGCTTGAATAGGCTAAACACTGTGATATAGTGATACAACAGAAGTTAGGTGAAATGCAAGAAAGGCTTTTTAACCTAATTTCTTACGATAATAAAGTGATTATTATTAACAGTAATATTTTGGAATCTATCCCAATATAGATGAATTCTTTCGTCAATCCCCCAATAGAGAGCTTAGTTAAAGTTCATACAATGCTTACGCCGATTTTTTGTTTTGTTAAAATATAAATAATTATCCTACCTTGGTTTCTGGTCCAGCTCGTGCCATGGCCTTTAATGTTTCTACTCCCAGAGCATTTACTTTATTTTCAAAGTTATTGATCTAAAATACAAAATAATATTGTGGTAATTACAAATACTCTCAACAAAAATCATACATTTCAACCCTGTTGTGTTCATTAACTGGAGATTTGCCTTAAAAAATCTGGAGATTGGCCTTAATAAATTTGTGAATTATAACATCCAAATTGGTTTTTTTTCTTTTTTTTATCTTTTTTCTTTTAAATAAGCCTTAAGCTATGTAAATTATTTATGAAAGGCCTATTATAGGTCTATATGATGCAGGAAAAGTGAATTACAGCTACCCTTATTTTCAAACACACAAGACAGTCCATTGCAAGCTGTGTCAATAAATAAAGGTGACACAGTGACATTGAATGACTAACCTACACTGATGTCCGGCAAAGGATATTCATCCTCGGTCATTTGAGCTGCCCTGCCGGTCATGTCTGGAAAATAGAGTCAAATAAATAACTGCCTAATAACTCACCTCAATGGCTGCCATTCTCTTAGTTCTGTTTAATTCCAGTTCATTTTCTTTCCTTAAATAATCTATTTCATATCTTCTCATCTATAGAATCATATAGAGAGAATTAAATAATCTATTTCATATCTTCTCATCTATAGAATCATATAGAGAGAATTAAATAATCTATTTCATATCTTCTCATCTATAGAATCAAATAGAGAGAATTAAATAATCTATTTCATATCTTCTCATCTATAGAAATAAATAGAGAGAATTAAATAATCTATTTCATATCTTCTCATCAATAGAATCATATATAGAGAATTAAATAATCTATTTCATATCTTCTCATCTATAGAATCATATAGAGAGAATTAAATAATCTATTTCATATCTTCTCATCTATAGAATCAAATAGAGAGAATTAAATAATCTATTTCATATCTTCTCATCAATAGAATCAAATAGAGAGAATTAAATAATCTATTTCATATCTTCTCATCTATAGAATCAAATAGAGAGAACTAAATATTCTATTTCATATCTTCTCATCTATAGAATCAAATAGAGAGAATTAAATAATCTATTTCATATCTTCTCATCAATAGAATCAAATAGAGAGAATTAAATAATCTATTTCATATCTTCTCATCTATAGAATCAAATAGAGAGAATTAAATAATCTATTTCATATCTTCTCATCTATAGAATCATATAGAGAGAATTAAATAATCTATTTCATATCTTCTCATCTATAAAAATAAAATAAGTGGTATGAATTAAATGAAATAAAACAGAAGCATAAGATATGACAATGTTTGATGCTATTGGGCAAATTTTAACTAAACGAGATTTCAAAAAGAATTCATGAGATTAAAGATGACCAGTGTAATAAACTGTCAATAATCAAAGAAACAAAACATCTAGATCTACAATGTAATCAGTTTGCAATGAGTTCATTCTGGAGTTAGTCTCGAAGATGAAGAATATTATCAGTAATATTTATATATCTAACTAACCTGTATTTGAGATAGAAGTTTTGCATTATGTTCTATTGTCATTGCCTCCGCTTTTAATTTAGCAGCTGTAATATAAAACAAAATATCATGTGTAACTTTAATTAACATATATCATTACATTCTTTCAAATCAATCAAAATCTGTGATAGCTACATCATAAAATGCATTGTTTAAATGTAATCATAAAATCACAGGCATCTGTCTGAAAATTGGAATTTGCAAATCGATACTACCACTTAATTTAAGAAATATCCGTGATGGACCCATTCAGGTAACCATGATTATATCTAAAGATTTTACTTGATCAATTAAACCTTGAAGAAGTCTTTACTTATGATTCTAGTTCCAGTTGTAAATAAGTAAGGATAATCCAGGAAAGATCAATCCCTATAAGTTTGTCAAGTACCAGCTGGAATCCTTTTCTTTCTTTCAATCTTTTTCTACCTACCTTCAATTTCACTGTGACATTCTATCAGAGTTTTCTCAGCGTTGGCCTGGGCTTCAGCTTTCGCCTGCCCAGTTGATTCAACAGCTGCTGTCATTGCACATAATTCTAATAACTTTGTTCTCTCCCTTTCTGAGTTACGTTCATTAGCCAGTTTCTGACGTTCTAGGTTGCCCTTAGCGATTTGTTCGTTTCGTTGAGCTTCGTGTGATGCTGCTGCCTCCACAGAACTTGAAAACAAAACCAAGAAATATCTCTGAAGTACATGTCTTTACCATAAAACAAAATATCTGTATCTTATTCTGTATTTTTACGAAAATTCAGTAATCTGATTGGATAATTAACTCAATTTGAAATCAATATCTATGATTGACATCTGTTTGAAGTTTTAAGAATAAGGTCCCAGAAGTTTACTAAAGTTATTGTATGAATATCATTATTATTCGGCAAGCCCTTTTTAGGATAAAATAGTCGTACCTAGTAGATATTTCTATAGCCATTTGAACTGATTTACTCAGTGAATCTCTCATCTTTCTATCAACAGGTTCAATAGATTGAACATCTAAACTTGTTATTACCTGTAAATATAATGAAATGTTTTAATTTGGTCAGCCAAATTCACCATCACTGTGTAACAAATAAGGACTGCGAATCCCCCCGCTTCAAATGTATACCTGAATATAAAGTGAAAGTAGAAATAATATAGTAAAAAAAAAAATTTGAACCTACCAGATTATTGACGTCAAATTGTAATTTAGAACTATTAACACCAAAAACAGCATACTGTATAACTTGCAGAGAATTACGATGAAATTTATCAAATGGAACTTGTGCTATAGCGCCTCTTATTTTCCCTCCTGAAATAGAATAAATAACAATAAAATAACAATAAAATAACAATAGAATAACAGTAAAATAACAACAAAATAACAATAGAATAACAATAACAGTAAAATAACAAAAGAATAACAATAGAATAACAAAAGAATAACAATAACATTACAGTAGAATAACAATAACAATAGAATAACAATAGAATAACAGTAAAATAACAATGAAATAACAATAAAATAACAGTAAAATAACAATGAAATAACAATAGAATGACAGTAAAATAACAATAACATAACAGTAAAATAACAATAGAATAACAATAACAATAGAATAACAATAAAATAACAATAACAATAGAATAACAATATAATAACAATAAAATAACAGTAAAATAACAATGAAATAACAATATTGATAATATATGGCTATTGTAATTTTAATTCATAAAAAGAAGCTCTACAAGAAGTTTAAGAAATGGAGGTTTTAGATGCTGATTTTCTAATGTTCACAAATTGTGATAAGATCATATTGTTTGTGTATAGAATGTTGTTTAAAATCAAATAAAAAAAAACACATACCTATTTGGTTACAAGCAAAACCAATAAAATCAGGAACAGCAAATATTTTCTCTTCATGTTCAGAATCAATCTAAAATATATTTCAAACAAACTTCAAAACAAACCTAACGTCCAACACATTGTGATATAAACTTGAATTAATTACTGAAGATCAGTGGAGGTTAAATTATACATTGTCATAAGGAGGCTATCTGAAACAATTCAGATCAGAGAATTTCTAAATAGATTTTAAACACAGTGATCTCTGGTTCCATCTAATATTCACAGCCTGGAGCACACGTGACCTTGAATTGCTCATTATACGTACAATATAGACCTATTCAAGATAAACTAAAACAACATAAATATTAAAATCCCAACATACCTCAAAATAATTATTAAAAGCTATTTTTATTTGTAATCTGGCATGATCTGAAGTTTCAACCTGAAAAAAAAAAAAATAGTTAAATTTATAAAAATACCATTGGACCATACAATTATAATTTGAAATGAATATTCATAGACTGATGATGAATATTAATGACCTACCTCTATAATGTCTGTAATAAAATCAGGACCTAACAGCAGACATAATGACTTTAATGCATTTGGTACTTTAGGTTTACCAGCTGGAATACAAGCAGAAATCACTTTCAGGAAATCTACAGAAACATTTATAACAAAACACATACCTTACATACCTTATAACAGTTCTTAGAATTCAATGATATACAAAGGTGAAGTGCAAAGAATAATATCTTTTTCATGATGCAAAAAGCCAGTCCATACCACCTGCCTAAGTTCACTTACATGTACACTATTTGAAGAATTTAGTTCAGATTAACTGTGTCAAGAACAAGAACCATGTTACATACCTCACAGCATCCCGAATACTTATAAGAAATATAATTCTATCAACTCACCACTTAAAGACAGGACATTGAAGTTTTCATGAGGGCCAAGAATAACTAAATCTGGTCCAAATATAACTCTAGCTGTCTTCTTCTGATAGTTATAAACCTATAAAACACAATGTTTCAATAACCTATAATCTGAAGTCTAGTTCTGCCGTGTATTTTGTATTAGTGTAAATTAGTAAATTATGTTATATTTAGTTTAAATATGGTGTATTTATTTTCTAATTTTATGGAGGATGTGGTGACATATAAAAAACAATAATAAATATTACCTGTACAGCAGTATTACCAGGGCAACGATATGTAACAACTCTTGTTTTATTTCTTCCCTATAAATCATTGCGAGAGAAAAAAAAAAGTAATGTTTATACGTAATTAGATGACTTGGAATCTTGTGTTCAATTTCAGAAAAAAAACCACCTATAATAAAAATTGACAGTAAGAATACTAGGAGAGGTGGGTTAAATAATCTTAAAATATGACTCAAGATGATATCCAACCCCAGATCTCAATTTCATCAAGCAAACAACTTGCTTATTAAGTCAGTGCAGCTTCCATCTAAATTATAAAACATATTATTACAGACCTTCCAGTGATTATGGTAGCTTTTAACTTCCTGAGCAAAAGAAGTTTCCAGTAAGAACTGTTTGTTGAAGTGAACAAAACTAAATGATTCAGTAAAGATGCCCCTAAATGACGATAACTTACCTGTAATATTTTAGGATCTATGGACTGTTCGTAATAAGCTAATTTACGAATCTCACCAGATCCGCTGCCACCACCTTGTCTAAAAATATATAAATAATTCTAAATACATAAACAGAGTTCAATTCTAATATTAGTCTTGTGTTTAAGTAAAAAACTCTGTTGAAACTTTACTATATTTATATGTGATATGGTGAAACTGGTGAATTGCTCATATATTATCATTTTAAAATTTGGGATATTTTTTGAATTTCTGATAGAGAACTATGTTTTGGGGTTTTTTCCATAAAATAAAAGTTTTCTATTTTGACCAATGCAAGATCTAAGAATATTATACAGGGTAAGATGAGCTGAATTAATCAAGGAAACACAACCTACCTTAACAATTCCTCAACATCATCTGAAAGTATTTTAGCCCAGAGTTCCTCCCATTCTTGTAACATATAGGAACACTGTCCCATCACAGACCTTACTTCACCAGTTCTAATATTCTGTATATAAATACCTTCATTCTTACTTAACGGTACTGCCACTCTTGAAAAAATAACAATGGAATACTGTAGAATGATACTGTTATACAGTGTTAAATCCTATAGGTTTGTTGATGGGTTTTACCGTAATTAAAATCAATGCAGAACATATAAATACTTAAATAATAACTGGCAGCTGGCTCAAGTAAATTCTATGTTTACTCCTAAGCATATAATAATTCATTTTAACACAGGTTTACAAAATACTTCAGATTTTTTGCCCAGCATTAACGCAATAAGCCATACTGGTTTTCTTTCATCTTAAATATTGTAAGAAATGGTGCTCATTTGGTTTACAAGTCAGATAAATTAGACTACAATCTGCCTCTCTCAGTCCTCTGTATATTTTCTATTTGGTACGAATCTTACCTCTGTGACAGTATTTTAACGTGTATCGGTGGAATATATTCTAATGGTCCCGTTATCATCCATCTATCTCCAGCCTTTCTTATTACTTCCTCTGAAAACACAACTATTATGATTATTACTAAGGATTGTCACAACATCATCATTAAACTTAAATAGAAGAACAAAAAATATTTATGTTTACCACAGATCTTTACAATATCAAGCTATTACCAAACACTATACAATGTCAAGCTATTACCAAACACTATACAATGTCAAGCTATTACCAAACACTATACAATGTCAAGCTATTACCAAACACTATACAATGTCAAGCTATTACCAAACACTATACAATATCAACCTATTACCAAACCCTATACAATATCAACCTATTACCAAACCCTATACAATATCAAACCATTACCAAACCCTATACAATGTCAAGCTATTACCAAACCCTATACAATGTCAAGCTATTACCAAACCCTATACAATGTCAAGCTATTACCAAACCCTATACAATATCAAGCTTTTACCAAACCCTATACAATATCAAGCTATTACCAAACCCTATACAATATCAAGCTATTACCAAACCCTATACAATATCAAGCTATTACCAAACCCTATACAATATCAAGCTTTTACCAAACCCTATACAATATCAAGCTATTACCAAACCCTATACAATATCAAGCTTTTACCAAACCCTATACAATGTCAAGCTATTACCAAACCCTATACAATATCAACCTATTACCAAACCCTATACAATGTCAAGCTATTACCAAACCCTATACAATGTCAAGCTATTACCAAACACTATACAATGTCAAGCTATTACCAAACACTATAAGAAGAAGTTAATAGTTTGACATTGTGTGCCACAAAGGACTTAAATGTTAATAATTCATGTCATTGTGAAAACAAACCTTCCTCCAGATCATCTGTAAAGTCCTCTATTGCCTGTAGTACTAGAGTTTCATCAGCTGATAATATTCTCGTATTCTGTATTCCACTCTCTAGTTTCTCTCCTGGAACAATAATAATATAGGTAAGCAAACAAGCATCTCTCTTGTTAACTTGAAATATTTCAGTTATAGACAATCTGTACAGAACCAGTGATTGTTCTTCAATATATCCAACCATCACTGATGTCATTATGACACAAAAAACATTACTAAATTAATTAAATAAACCAATAAATTAATGGCACACTACCCTTCTCAATATCTCCTATAAATATAAACAACACAATACTGTCCTTTGCTCAACACAGTCTTCTCTACTCTACTCAATATATCCTATAAATATAACAACACAATACTGTCCTTTACTCAACACAGGCTTCTCTACCCTTCTCAATATATCCTATAAATATAAACAACACAATACTGTCCTTTACTCAACACAGTCTTCTCTACCCTTCTCAATATATCCTATAAATATAAACAACACAATACCATCCTTTACTCAACACAGTCTTCTCTACCCTTCTCGATATATCCTATAAATATAAACAACACAATACTGTCCTTTACACAACACAGTCTTCTCTACCCTTCTCAATATATCCTATAAATATAAACAACACAATACTGTCCTTTACTCAACACAGTCTTCTCTACTCTACTCAATATATCCTATAAATATAAACAACACAATACTGTCCTTTACTCAACACAGTCTTCTCTACTCTACTCAATATATCCTATAAATATAAACAACACAATACTGTCCTTTACTCAAAACAGTCTTCTCTACTCTTCTCAATATATCCTATAAATATAAACAACACAATACTGTCCTTTACTCAACACAGTCTTCTCTACTCTACTCAATATATCCTATAAATATAAACAATACAATACTGTCCTTTGACATTGGCATTTCGCCTGGTTATCTGAATCAGATCACAAACTTAGTTAACACAGTATAAAGGCTTGACTCAAAATCCTTTTTCTAAACCTATGAATAAGCTAGTGTTTTAAATGCTGTAGTACTTACCACACCAATCTGAGGTATTATCAGATCTGTTTGTTCACCAGTTACTAACCATGCTTCACCAGGTAATCTATAAATACAAACAAATCAGACTCACATTTGTAAGATAAACCTATAAATATGATGTTTGTAGTAAATCATTTAGTAAGAGAAACCTAATAAATATTATGTCTTTAGTTAATCATTTAGTACGGGAAATCTAACAAATATGATGTTTGTAGTAAATCATTCAGTAAGAGAAACCTAATAAATATTATGTCTTTAGTTAATCATTTAGTACGGGAAATCTAACAAATATGATGTTTGTAGTAAATCATTCAGTAAGAGAAACCTAATAAATATTATGTCTTTAGTTAATCATTTAGTAAGAGAAATCTAACAAATATGATGTTTGTAGTAAATCATTTAGAGAGAGAAACCTAATAAACATGATGTTTGTAGTAAATCATTTAGTAAGAGAAACCTTATAAATATGATGTCTATAGTAAATCATTTAGTAAGAGAAACCTAATAAATATTATGTCTGTAGTTAATCATTTAGTACGGGAAATCTAACAAATATGATGTTTGTAGTAAATCATTTAGTAAGAGAAACCTAACAAATATGATGTCTGTAGTAAATCATTTACTAAGAGAAACCTAATAAATATGATGTCTGTAGTAAATCATTTAGTAAGAGAAACCTAACAAATATGATGTCTGTAGTAAATCATTTAGTAAGAGAAACCTAATAAATATGATGTTTGTAGTAAATCATTTAGAGAGAGAAACCTAATAAACATGATGTTTGTAGTAAATCATTTAGTAAGAGAAACCTAATAAATATTATGTCTTTAGCTAATCATTTAGTAAGGGAAATCTAACAAATATGATGTTTGTAGTAAATCATTTAGTAAGAGAAACCTAACAAATATGATGTCTGTAGTAAATCATTTACTAAGAGAAACCTAATAAATATGATGTCTGTAGTAAATCATTTAGTAAGAGAAACCTATAAATATGATGTCTTTAGTTAATCATTAAGTAAGAGAAACCTAACAAATATGATGTTTGTAGTAAGAGAAACTTAATAACTATGATGTTTGAAGTAAACAATTTAAGAAGAGAAACCTAATAAATATGATGTTTGTAGTAAATCATTTAGTGAGAGTAACCTAACAAATATGATGTATGTAGTAAATCATTTAGTAAGAGAAACCTAACAAATATGTCTGTAGTAAGAGAAACTTAATAACTATGATTTTTGAAGTAAACTATTTAAGATGAGAAACCTAATAAATATGATGTTTGTAGTAAATCATTTAGTGAGAGTAACCTAACAAATATGATGTATGTAGTAAATCATTTAGTTAGAGAAACCTAACAAATATTATCTGTAGTAAGAGAAACTTAATAACTATGATTTTTGAAGTAAACTATTTAAGAAGAGAAACCTAATAAATATGATGTTTGTAGTAAATCATTAAGTTAGAGAAACCTAACAAATATGATGTCTTTAGTTAATCATTTAGTAAGAGAAACCTAACAAATATGATGTCTGTAGTAAAAGAAACTTAATAACTATGATGTCTGTAGTAAACAATTTAAGAAGAGTAACCTAATAACTATGATGTTTGTAGTAAATCATTTAGTAAGAGAAATCTTTGAATATGATGTTTGTAGTAAAACATTTAGTGAGAGAAACCTTGTAAGAGAAACCTAATAAATATGATGTATGTAGTAAATCATTTAGTAAGAGAAACCTTTAAATATGATGTTTGTAGTAAATCATTTAGTAAGAGAAACCATGTTATGTTCATAGTAAATGATGTAAGCATATCAACTGGTACCTGTGTTTTCCCATAAAGTCTGTGAGTCTTTCTGTGGCACCAAGATGATAGCCAGTGTCGGGGGTTAGGGTTATTTTTTCCTCCAGTCCAAGGAAGTTTTCATGAACTCCTTGTAGGTAGGCGCCTTGTTCTGTGATGTACCATTCTTCTCCTGTAACTCTCCTCCTGCAAATACAACTTTAGTCTATTGTCTACAAAACGATAAGAAATTTTGAATCAAGTTATTGCTCTATGGCAAGACAATGTAAACAGAAAAATTTATTGGTTATCGCCTTTTGTGTCAGTAAAAAAACCCTGAAAATGAACCTTTCGAGATCATTTTATGTTTTGGATATAAAATCCTCATCAGGACAGAGGTAATAATTGAAAAAGGAAGTTTAACTTACCTGCCACTACTATCAATACAGTCTTGTTTAGCAGATAGTCTTAAAACTTGATCCATTTTAATAACAACTGGTTCAACTATTTTATTTATTTCCTGTTTAAATATAACTTGTTATCATATACAACAATTCATTAAATATCTGGACATAGACAGGGTGATTCTAGGTGATCCAAACCATTTAGTTCAGTTTGCCACATTATTTTCATTACTTTGATATTTACACCATGTTTATACAAATTTTAGGAACAAACCCCCAGAAGCAGATAATATCTGTTTTTCATTCTATTTTCCCTTTCCCTGTCTTAAAGCATTTTGGATGTTTTAAAAACAAACCAACCCTTGTTTAACAGTCAGGTTTTAATAGATATAATACCTCCTTAAAACAAAAACTTAAATTTTCAAAAATTTGGCTGAAAAAATTGTTGTTTTGAAAGGGTTTGACTGCTCTGTTCAACATCAGAACTATAAACTTAAAAATAAAAAGACAAAAGACTCACTGCCTCGACTGTAGGTATATAGGTGATGGGTCCTTCAATATGCCACATATCTCCAGCACGACGGACCACACCTCCATCATCATGGTCTACCAGGGCTGTCACAGACAACGCATGATTAGCAGGAATTACTGGTAGAGGCTTGATAGCACTGGAATAATCTTTGGATGTTTTACCAAAATTCTCAGCACCATACAGAGATTCACCTGGATACAGTGGAAATGGTTCCTGGAAGTGAAAAACATGTCTTACCTGTAAACCCTTCATTTGTAAATGAACTCATCAGAACTAAATTACAGTATACTCTGCGTAATCCGACATACATTGGAACCGCAAAAAAATGTCGGATTAGCGAGAGTGTCGAAGTACTCAGAGTTTCAACATTTTTTAACATGTTACCATTTATAGCTCAATGACCCACATTCTATACACGGTACCTTTCTAATAATAAGACAGTAATAAAAGACAATTCAGTTGTATACGTTACTATTATTTTGTACATTTTATCCAACTGATAGAAACAATGCCTGCTTGGACAGGTTCAATCTATGGAACAAGAGGTACAAGTATAATACCAACAAGATATAAGATGCTTCACTGACTGTGATGGTCTGAATTATTACTTGTAATGAAAAGTATACAAATTCTTACCCCATTCAGTCTAACTTCTGACTGACCCATTTTCAATTCACAGAACTTCCCAGCTTCATATTTACTAAAATATAACAAATTTATAGAATCAAATCAAAATTAATTTTACTTACTTTTTTTTGTAACTAATACTACTATAGCCCAACAAGGATCATGCAACAATACATGACATGATGCACAAGGGAATTCAGAGTTTCAAGTTTAAAATAGCCAGGAAAATGTTCCAATGATGTCAATATGTGGTATTTCCACCTTATTTCCATGATCTGAATAACTTGAATATACCTCATTGGATTCAGGATGATACAATAATGTCCAGGTGGAACTTTCACCATTGGACATGGTTCTGTTATTAAAACTTCATTGGTCTGCAGAGCAAAATTCTTGGGACCAATCTCAATCTGTGAGATATTGGTATTCTGAAAATATAAATGGGTTGAAGTTACGTTATCAATAAAACCAAACTTTGTCTGAGGTTTTATCTGATGTCTTCATCATTAGTAAAGGTTTGATCAAACTACTTGATGAGAAAAAAAACTTTTCAATCTGTGTACAGGCAAATGTTAAGATAACCCAAGATAAACCCTTTAAAAATATACCATAATATCATTAAAGGAAAAAGTCTTCTGAATATTATGTTTAATTAATGACAAATAAGAATTAAAATTTCATCCAGAGAAATGGAATATTTATCTACAACTAAGCTGTATCAGCTGACAACAATCATATTTCTAAGACAATCTGCCTTTTAAAATGGATTTAGAGAGTATAATGGCAATAAATACAGTTTAAAATCATGTTTTTGAAACCTTTAGTTATTTGAAATCAGCAAATGTGTCATTTTGAATTCAGGATCTTGTATCATGAAGTGTTCCTTATTTAATTTAATTTTTCTCTGTTTCAAAGTATTTTCGACTGTGGCCTGGTACTGGAAACATGGCTCATACGTCATGAGATTTTAGATTTAAAGCCTTGTATGATGGTGTATATATGTTTGTATTTATATAGATTATATTATATTAATGTTATTTATCATTAATTGATTGTTGAGAATGCTACAAAATTAAAGTGACCTATAGGTCCATAGGGCCGGTTGTTTGTAATACTTGATATGCACGTAATATATGTATACTTATCATAACACATGTCACTGTAATAAACAATTACTTACTTACTTATCCCCTCATAAATGTGTCAATACAATTGATCTATTTGAAGTTTCAGCAGATTGGAAGAATTGCTATATGTATTGTTTTATGTTTGATAATTGAAACGTTGTAGAAATTAAAGAAAGGAGTAGTATATCTATAATAGTCTTCTTATTTATTTAATATAAATTGTTTTCATTTCTTATATAGAGTACAGATATTAACACTTCCTCAAGGTGGTTTAATAATAAAGTAGGTCAAGAAACAACCAGAGCAGAACAGTCAATAATAGTAATATATATATCATCTAATCTTTGAATGATAATTAAAAGTAAAAGTACATTAGATAAATATTGTGAGAGGTGGTCCAATATTCCTCCAAGTAGTCAGGTATTATTACACGACCAGTAAAAAACATAAGGGATTGAATATTGACTGTAGCTTTGTGAAACCTGGTAAATAATAACAGCAAACACCAAGAAAGGCAAAAAACACCGATCCAGTCAGTAATATAATTAATTATAGATAAACTACTATTAGACTGGGCTAAGATTTACTGCTCTTTGGACAATGTTTACAGAATTCAATAGAGGTATTCCTTTCCTTATGAATCTAATGAAAATGTCAACCATTGGAAAAGTTATTTGTAAATACGATTTTAAAGGAAAAGTAGGAAAAGTAGGTCATATTGATTTGATTTATCCTTAGGTTAGAGTTTAGAATCTAAGACAAATGGCATGCAGTTAAACATTATATTTTGAATTTGTGAAATGAGAGAAAAAATATTAAATGCCATGCTTATAGCCTTATTTTAAACAGAGTAGTCGCCAGCTTATAAATATTGGACTGGTGTTATTGGAAATTTACATTGGATAAGACGAAGTACGAGACTTAAAATATCTATAAGAAATCACTTACATTGTTCAGAATATGAATGAAGGTGAAGGGAGGGACACTGATTACTCTACTCATCTCGACTTTCAGCCTGTCAAACTATAAATGTCCTCAAAAACTTCAAATCCTAGCCCCACAGTTCCTGGTAACAACTTGTTCTACTTTGTACCAACTTGTAAACAATCGAGTTTCTACAAATATTAACTCAAAATTCAACACAAAACGAAATTTCATCAAATTACGTCATTTATAAAAATAGTAACTTACAAAACGAAAGATTGAAAATACAGAAAAATGTCGATTAGGTTAATTTTACATTGACGTAGGTTTCTTGCAATTGACGTCAATGGTTGTAGCAGTACAAATTATAACATCTCACGGTATGATTTTTATCTTAAAGTGACTAGTAGAACGAAACATATCTGTCTCTATTCTAGCCTCTGATAGCTATTTGGATAGATTCGGCTGGTGTAGAGACAGAAAAAAACGTGTTAAATGGAAACTTTCCGAATCCCCGCAAGTGCTTGAGTTTTAAACCTTTTTAAATAGCCTGGATCTGCAAAACCAAGATATATTTGGAAAGATGAACATTTTTTTAGTTCAGTAATGCCATCATGCCCTACACCATTTACGTTACGTTTCCGGTACCATCAAATTTTTTTTTAAAGAAACTGATCTCGCATCGACCATCTGCGTGCACCGTTCAGGGGTCACGGAGTGACGTGATACTGACAACATAAAAGTTATGGTGATGCCCAACACTAATTTACAATCCTCTTAAAGGTAATTTAATATTTTGTTGGAAAAACGCATCTTTGGAGGTGGGGAAAATCCCCATTTAACAAGGCCTTTTTCTTCTGACTCTACTCCAACCGACAACTCTCCAAATATCAGGGGTTGGAATAGAGGCAGATGTTTTGAACTAAGTGACAAGGTGCGCTGATTTATAATACATATATCAAATGTTTATTTTTCATAAGTAACGTAGGTTCGCCACTTTCATATCTTTATCCCTCTATGTGAATCCATAATCAGTCTTTGAACTTTAATCGGTATTCAATTTATTTACAGGGGCATTACACACAATTTTCATTATCAAAAAACTTATACCTGAAAATATTTCTGAAATATGCCAAATATGCATAGTCATTAGTCCGAGTCTCAAAAAAGTGTGTTATAAAGAGTGGTCCAACTTTGTTTGGTCAGAGTTGTCATCATTTTAATTTAATTGTATTCGATTAAAAACAGAGTGTACTAATTGTTAGTAAAACAGCTTTAGATTTTGGTATATAGTTTTCATAAATTGGCAGACTGTCTCATCAGGCGGAAAACTTAGGAGGTTGAGATTCAGAATTCGACAGTTCTGTGGAAGCACATGAGCACAAACTTCCCCTGCTCTAGAGTTTGAGAGTGTTCTCCCACAAGACAATTAGGTCAAATCTGACACATTTTGTGGGACAAACCATTTATCTAGAGGGACATTACAATGAGAGGGGCCCCAACCCACTAAAGTCCGGGAACCCCCAATCATCTGGTTGAGCCCCTGTCCACTGCCTGTTTGTTTTCAGGTACGCCATGTGTTGTTTATAAAGATACACTTTGTATTAGGACTATAAAACTTGATCCCTAAAACTATCAAATAAATGGTATAATATGAAGCCCCGAATAATAAAATAATGATGAAATATGGAATTCGATATTTTACTATCAAACTGTTGGTGAAATTAGATGATTTAATGTTAAAATCAATCTGAACTAAATCTGTATAAATACTGGCTAGAATTCTGATGTGATCATCGGTTTGTGAAGATCAGTGTTGACTAACATCTAAATTTAACACAGAGTTAAAATCATCTTCGATAATCCAATATCACCATGTCTCGTCTAGTATTAGTTGGTGTATTTCTCCTAGTCCTGGCTAGTGTAGTTGATGGTAGTTCCAGTTCGTCTCGAAGATCAAGCAGAATTCGGCGTTTACCGAGTAAATCTATGAATCGATTCTTCAGAGGGCTGTGTTCAAGGTTCAGAGAGTCGGCTATAATAACAAATAGTAAGTAAAGGGCCTTTATATATTCTGTCATTCGCCGCTTCTTAGTTTCATCGTGTAAATTATACTGATCGGATAGAGGCAGATGTTTGAGATTATAAACATTGGTGATATCACTTGATTTGCAAACTGGCTAATCAACTCGCTTGTACGAAACCATTTTTTCGTTTTGTCTTGTAAATTTTAACACGACGCACGGAACTCGCAAAAAATATAAAAAAAGGGTTGTTTTACATGGTTGAAATTTACCGCCACATATGAAGCTATTTGTATAAAGTGACCCACAATCCTGGCTTTATATTAACTTGAGAAGGACAAAGTTTCTTTTTCACCATCGTAACCTGAAAGTTCCTGTTTATATTTTTTAGATGAAGAGGAACCTATAATCACTGGAAGAGAGTCTGTAGTTCCCGAGATTACTTCAGCATCCCCTGTCACCGACCCTACTACCGTACCCCCTGCCACCGACCCCCCCACACCGAAAACTTGTGTGTATGTAATGAAGGAATACCCTTCCACTGATGTCAAATCAGAGCTCGTTCTCCCGGAAATATTCAACATCACTCGAGAAGAATGTGAAGATATTTGTAAGAAGGACGCATCCTGTATCGAAGTCGAATCCTTCGGCAGAACTCCAGTAAGGTGTACCCTTAATATGGGTCGTACCCGTCTAGCTGGGCTGAACGAGGCTATATGTTTATCTTCCTGTAAAACCAGACCCGAATGCTTTGCAATAAGTATACGTCAGATGAAATGTCAACACTTCAATCGTCTTTTCAACTCATCTGAGTTAATACCCGACGAAACACATTTGTCTAAGGTTTTTATGAAAGTATGCCAACATTAATATAAATATCAGACTAGGGTTTTTCATTCAAAGCATGCATGACTTTCGGGAAATGCTAAAACATAAATATCAAACTGAATTTATTGTTTCGAACGCCAAACACCATACCAGATTTGAAAAGTTAGCCCCAGTTTCAAAACTTGCTATCCTGACGAAGATTGTGTATCAAAAACACATCAGCCTAGACAGCATGATATCAGCTTAAATCAATGAGCTAACTTTAAGTCATTTAATGAAAGGTTAACCCCTTTCCAACACTAGCTGTTCTGACGAGGACTGTGTATCTGAAACACATGTCAGCAGTATGATCTATGAACTTTAGTCAAATAATTCCAGAATGTATGTATTTAAAATGTTAATTATGAAGAACCCACAACTGATATTGTTGTCTACCAAAATAAATTATGTATCTCAGATATAAGCGTTTTATTTTTTCCAAAAATCCGCTGTCGAGAGCTTTGTCATTCCCAACTCAAACAACACTGGCAATAATGTCGCCTGGTCAATCGTGGATCAGCTATCATTATGTCATGCACCAGGGTAATGTTTTCCGGAATGAGTTACTGTTGAAAGCCTTCCTGGACGTAGAGATCAAGTCAGTATGTTTCTTTGTTGGATTTCGGGAAAGGGAGGGTTTGATTCTCCCAAATATACAGGCCCAGGATGGAACAAATACTTCATTTACAACTTGGAATAAATGGTCTGGAACTGCTGGGAATTTTTCTTAGTTTTTGATCTAAAAACGATAAGATAATATATCACCCAAAGGCGAGAGATTAGATTGTTATATACTAATGGGCTTTAGTTTGCTATGAACAAGGTATTCATATACATCTTGTTTTTTTATATGCGACAATTATTTTTTGTTGAATTTCTCTTGTAGACCTTCATAATGGACATGGACTATTTTACTTGCTGGTGGTATAGAATGAGATAACAAAAGGTGCGTTAACTACATTATGGTGAAAATTCAGTCCTATAGGCCGTGGCTATTAAGCGTCTGAATCCAATGGGCCACCCTGGCCTGACAGAATTTCATAGTTTCATCTTCTGGTAGGTCAATTAATATGCGCTAATGAAGGTTAGAATAAGATCTTCTAATGAATGGTCGTCCAAGTTTAAATGATAAGAAACGGGTTTGTCTTTCTTTAATGTGATATCTGATCTATGAGCTTTAAACCGAATGTCTAGATAATACATTCGGATTCAGTGATGCAGGTAAGAGGGGCTGACATACAAAAAACGTCTAGCCGTTCGGGTGGGACAATAAACCAAGACCCGTGTGCTACAGGCTGTGCACATTAAGGATCCCTCGACAGTTGAGAATCGACAAAAAGCAGCTGTTGTCTTGGCAAAATTTCCCTCATTGCACCTTGCTTGGCGTTGCCCGTCTTCAGTTGCCCACACAGAGCAGAAAAGTAAGACGTAGAGATCAAGTCAGTATGTATCTGTGTTGGATTTCGGGAAAGGGAGGGTTTAATTCTCCCAAATGTACAGGGAATGGGAACTCCATTCATTTCATTTTGTAAACTTTGTTTGGATAAATTCTTACATGAAATTAAGTAAATTTTATTCGAGCATTCACAGGTAAGATGCTCCTGGATCAAGTATCTTTTCTTCATAGATTTATTTAAGAAATAGAGAGTTTCAGATATATATGAGCGCTTTTGCATCTATACGACAGACATAGGTCACTACTTATCGAGATATTTCGATATAAAGTCTATTCTTAGCTGATATCTTCGTTAAGGTAGAACTGTTTATGATTCGTAACAATCGTTTAGAGTACCCACGCTCTTTTAGTTTAAAGAAAACTAACCCTGGTAATAGTAAATTTATTTTTATACGCCCACATGAAATAAGGTCGTATATTGTCGTCACCCACAATTGGTCGTAAACACTCTAGAAGGCACAATTCTTGACGAATTTTGACGAAACTTTGTATGATTGTCTATTAATGCCCAAAAATGAACCCTATTGAAAATCAGAAAAATTGAAAAATATTTAGTATGAATTATTGCCCTTGTTCGTAAAATGCTCGTAAACACTCTTGAAGGTGCAGTTCTTGACAGATTTTGATGAAACTGGGTGTGAGAGTTTGTAATCACCCAAGGATGAACCCTATTGAAAATCAGAAAAATGGAAAAATATTTAGTATGAGTTATTGCCCTTGTTCTTGAAAACGCGTTCAATTTTTAGCTCGTAAACATTCTAGAAGGCACAGTTCTTGACGGATTCTGACGAAGCTTGGTAATATTATTCAGTATCCCCAAACAAAGTTCAAAAGAAGTGTATGACTGAAGGTTGAACATTTCATACTGGTGATTGTTACTGTACTGCCGAATATTTTTATTTAAAATCAAAGCTGCCAGTGGGCGTATATTACCTTGCCTGGATATTATGACACATAGAATTCTATCTCTTATTACCCGGCTGTTAGTCTGTCATATACCTCCGGGTAAGCCCTGTATTCAGTGGTTCAACGAGATGAGTGATGGCCCAGGGACTTAAGTGGGTTGAGGCCCCTTCCCCGGGAAATTTGATTTTTAATATATGATTTCCTGCATTCTGAGTTACCTCTAGCTGTTGGTCAATTTAATGTAAGATTTAAAGATATTCACTCTGCAGTTAATGATTATTCTGGGAGTGGGGCCTCCTTATGGGAGGGGGACGCGTGGACTTAATACAATCAGTCACTATAATAGTTGAGGCACTGCCTGTGTTGTTGAATGTTTATCTCTCTACAAGTGTAGACACCATGTGTTCACATGAAGTATTCAGAAAACAGAAATAAATAAAAAATAAAACGCTTATTTGAGATAATTAATTTGGTAGACAACAATATCAGTTTTTGGGTTCTTCATAATTAACATTTTAAATACATACATAGTGGAATTAAATTGTCTAAGGCTTATATACACAATCCTCGTACAGATAATGATGAACATGTGGAATTATCTTGGGTAAAGTCATGTTCTTTAACAACGGTACAATGATTATTCACATCTAACTGATCATTATCATCGTACCGTTGCTAAAAGAACATGGAGTAAAGTATGGTTTCAGAACAATGAAATTAGTATCTTTACAATGTCGTCTTATACCTTGACTGTAATATCCACCTTACATTGCGGAATGTAGCCATTTCATTGGATTGTATGCCAGAGAATACAGCCAATCAGAGTCTCGATGGAAAGACTGTAATCCTTATGAATTATATCTACAGACTTTCAGACTTTGAGGCCTCTGATTGGTTGTAATCACTAGCGTAGAGACCAATCAAATCTCTGCATTTGTTGACCCCGGTATTGTCAACAAACAAATTTCTATTTATGGGATAAGAAGGTTTGGTTGGCCTCAGGTTATACCTGTGGAAGAGAGAAATAACACAGTTAATTTCAATACAAGATCTTTTTTTTACACAGCATAACCTGTACCCGGTTACATTTTTACAAACTTCTGTAACACACGAAAGATGGCTATTGCAATCAAGGTATATAGCTTAACATTATCAAGATGGAAAATCCGAGACTGATATTCATTATGCAGTTAGAGGTAGACATATTTTGAGATACATGTACGAATCATTGCGTCGTTGTAAATCCGTTGTAAAGAAAGCACGGTTATAGTGTTTACATGTGATCCCATGCGAGCTAGCTTGAAGACAGGCAGGGTTGGCCATACAGGAGGATGCACACGAATCCGCGGACTCCCCAGTCAGACGGATAATACCCATGTTTAGGGTGCATCTTACTGGAGTTTTACCGTATGATTCGACATCGATACAGGATACGTTCTTATCACAAATATCTGTACATTCTGCTAAAGTGACGTTGAAGACTTCCGGGTTAATGACCTCTGGTAGTACTTCCGTATTGTTCTTCATCCCATAAAAACATCGCTTCGCTGCTGTCTCGGTCCCGTTAGACCCGGTGTCTATGATAGGCTCGGTGGTAGTGGGGACGGTAGAGGGCTCAGTAACAGGGAGCACAGTGGTAGACTCCAGACTAGTTTCGAGAACTACAGACTCTCTGCCATTGATAACAGATTCATCTGAAAAAAAACCGAAACAGTAATATTGAGGTGTTTATGTAAAATAGTGGCGTATTACAAAACGTTACATATCAACCTTCGTCGTCGAAACATCTCCCTATAAGTGCATAGATGGGACCGTGGTTCACATAATCCAAATAGCTTCGTATGGTTAGTTGAGATTTAAGCCAATCTAATTTTCACAATCGAAAGAACATGGGGCCTTGAAACATAGTCCCATCAGAATGACAAGGACCTACATCTCAGGGGTCAGGGGAAACACGGTTGCTCGGTTAGTTAGAAGCTTGCTCGTTAACCTGTAGGTCCATGGTTCAATCCCGGCATTGGTCGAGATAATACCTTGGGATATTTCAACCAAGTTTTCCCCTGTCAGTGATACAGGTAAGAGGGGCTGACAAGGAAAAAGCGTGTAGTATGGGACAATAAACAGAGGCCCCATGTGCTACAGGCTGTGCACGTTAAAGACACCTCGACAGTTGGAAATCGAAAAAGAGCAGGCTAATGCCGCTGTTTTGGCAAAATTTCCCTCATTGCACCCTTCATGGTGTTGCCCGTCTTCACTAGCCCACATGGTGCAGAAAAGTAGTACGTAAATCTGATAAACACGACCTAATAGACTTCAAATCCTCGTTAAATAAAAGATAGAGGGGGTCATTTACTTACCTTCTGTTCTTATAGCCGACTCTCTGAACAGTGGACACAGCCCTCTGAACAATCCACTCATAGGTTTTCTCGGTGAACCCCGAATTCTGCTTGATCTTCGAGACGAACTGGAACTACCATCAACTACACTAGCCAGGACTAGGAGAAATATACCAAGTAATACTATACGAGACATGGTGATACTGGATTATCGAAGATGATTTCAACTCTGTGTTAAATTCAGATGTTAGTCAACACTGATCTTCACAAACCAATGATCACATCAGAATTCTAGCCAGTATTTATACAGATTTAGTTCAGATTGATTTTAACATTAAATCATCTAATTTCACCAACAGTTGGATAGTAAAATATCGAATTCCATATTTCATTATTATTTTATTATTCGGGGCTTCAATATTATACCATTTATTTGATAGTTTTAGGGATCAAGTTTGTGTGAATAACAATTTTACTGCTCACAAATAGAGTGTACCTGGCGGCGACAGTGGGGGTACTGGGGCATTTACCTCCCTAGAAAAATGGTTTGCACCTCCAGAATTCAGAATACAGGAAAGGATATGTTAAAAATCAGATTTCCCGGGGAAGGGGTCCAAATCCACTGAAGACTACAGCCCTCAATAATATATTTGAGCCACTGAACACTGAGCCCACGTAGAGTTAATGACAGATCAACAGTGGGGTACTAAGATATAGAATTCTATTTTTCATCAATATTGTATGAAATGGGCTGTATATTATCTGGGTTGGTGGAATAGTTCTCAGCCTAAATGGGATATCTTAATTGGATTGAAAAATTGGATTTTCCGGAAGCAATCAATGACATAAAAACAGTATTAGTGTCTTTGTACCACGACTGTACGATTGTTTTCTAAAAACTGAAAGAGCATGGATTCTCTAAACAATTTTTGAGAAATATAGAAAGAGATAGCAGCTAAGAACAGGCTTTATGTTGAAATATCTCCAAGTTTATAGAGTGCCCCATGTCTGTCAAATAGATGCAAAAGTGTTCATTTATATATCCGCAATTCACTATTTTTTAAAGGGACTAGTGCACTATTTTTTTTTGACCAATAATACTTTAGTCTCAGGAACGGGAATTTTTTAGCTAAGCAAATCAGTAAAAGCGTTCAAAGCTCATCGTCGAAATTTGAGCCTTAAAATCCATGTGTATCAAGAATTATCCGCGTTTCAATGTTAAAATGACGACTCGTCAATTTAAGATACTCTGTGATATATAGAAAATATATATATAGAAATAGTGAGTAAAATTCCTAGTTTGATGTATTAAAAGGAATTATGCGATTTCATATATTCAAGACTAAAATCAACGCCCCAAAATAGCGCGTCTGTCACTTTAAGTATCTCAACGAAGAAAAGGTACATTATCCAGTAGCATCAGACATGTGAAGATTTACTTAATTTCGTGTCAAAATGTCCCAAACAATATGTAGGAGAAACTAGAAATAATTTACTCACTCGTTTTACGGCTCATAGATCAGATATCAAGTTAAAGAAAGACGAGACAGTTTCTAATCATTTCAACTTGGACGACCATTCATCAGACGATCATATCCTACCCCCCTTTGAGAGCATAGTAATTGACTTGCCAGAAGATGAAACTACAAAATTCTGTCAAGCTGGGGAAGAAATACATCCGATGTGGCCAAGTCAGACTTCCACCTGTTTCCCAAAATCAAAAAGGAGTAAGACAGTCGCCATTACCCTATCCTAGCATCGCTGGCAAAAGAGTGAAAGCCTTGGAGAAGCTCGTGTAGTGCTTCTCAATCGGGTTCCAAATGCATAGGTGTGGGGGTGGTTTTGGGGTACAGACTGGTTTGCCCGAAAAGGGTTGAGATGTTGGGCGAAGTCCGCTATTTTTCGGTGAATTTTCTTTCAGAACTTAATTATTTTTAGAACATCACCCAAAAACATTACTTGTCTGACCGAGATTTATGTCGGTGCCCGAAAAGATAATATTTAAGCTGTTCCTTGTTTTATGTTTATTCTAGGTGGTATTAATAAGAAACCATGGGTCCAGTTTTCAAAACACATCAATACATTTTTGGAAAAAAATAAAATTTGAGACAATTAATTTATTTTGGTAGACAACAATATCAGTTTTTGGGTTCTTCATAATTAACATTTTAAATACATACATTCTGGAATTAAATTGACTAAAGTTCATAGATCATACTGCTGACATGTGTTTCAGATACACAGTCCTCGTCAGAACAGCTAGTGCTGGAAAAGGGGTTAACCTTTCATTAAATGACTTAAAGTTAGCTCACTGATTGAAGCTGATATCATGCTTTCTAGGCTGATGTGTTTTTGATACACAATCTTCGTCAGGATAGCTAGTTTGAAAATGTATTGTCTTACAAAAACTGTCCAAATCTGGTATGGTTTTGGGCGTTCGAAACAATAAAGTCGTGCATGCTTTATATGAAAAAACCCTAGTCTGATATTTATATTGAAGTTAAGGTAGGCACATTTTCATAAAAACCTTAGACAAATGTGTTTCGTCGGGTATTAACTCAGATGAGGTCAAATGACGATTGAAGTGTTGACATTTCATCTCACGTGTACTTATTGCAAAGCATTCGGGTAAACTTTTACAGGAAGATAAACACGTGGCCTCGTTCTGTCCAGCTAGACGGGTACGACCCATGTTAAGTCTGCACCTTACTGGAATAAAGCCGTAGAATTCCACTTCGATACAGGATGAGTCCTTTTCACACATATCTTCACATTCTGCTAAAGTGATGTTGAATATTTGCGGGTGAACAACATCGAAATTTACACCAGTGGAAGGGTATTCTTTCATTAAACAACTTTTCGGTGTGGTGGGGTCGGTGGCAGGGGGTACGGTAGTAGGGTCGGTGGCAGGGGGTACGGTAGTAGGTTCGGTGACAGGGGATGCTGAAGTAATCTCGGGAACTACAGACTCTCTTCCAGTGATTATAGGTTCTTCTTCATCTAAAAAATATAAACAGGAACTTTCAGGTTACGATGGTGAAAAATAGATATGTGTCTTCTCAACTTTTGTGAATAAATAGCCAGGATTGTGGATCACTTTATACAAATAGCTTCATATGTGGCGGTAAATTACAACCATGTAAAACAACCCTTTTCTTACATTTTTTTGCGAGTTGCGTGCGTCGTGTTCAAATTTACAAGACAAAACGTAAAAATGGCTTCGTACAAGCGAGTTGATTAGCCAGTTTGCAAATCACGTGATATCACTA